AAACTTTGCTTTTTTCGTTCTGATTTTTGAACTATAATCTAGATCTAGATTCTAGTTTTTGATGTTACTTTCGATTTCCTCTGAACTGTTTAAACATTGCGAAGCATGAACAAAAAATAAGGAAGTAGGCCTAAGCATTTTCTATGCAATATTATAAATTAGATCTAGATCTAGATCTAGATCTAGACCTCTATAACATTTTTATTTTTTATAGGCCCTATTCATTTGAAGAAATTTGAGAATGAGCAAAGAAGAATTTTAAATTAAATTTAATTTTAATTTAAGGTTTAAATTTTAAATTTATACGCTAGGCCTACCACTTTTACTCTTCTTGTATTAAGTCATTTAAGTAGTAAAAAAAAAATAAGTAGCCTATAAGTATTAATTAGGCATTATTAGGACCCTATTTGTTTTACATTTTCATTAAAATATAGGCTATTAAATTATATTAAGGTAGTGTAGGGCCTATGGTTTAAGTTTAGCTTTTTAGGCTTATAATCTCTCTGCTACGTTGGTCGTGGATTAACTGATCAATTATCATTATGCACTAGGGCCTATAATTATAATTAAATCTAGGCCGATTCTAGCCGGAATAAGATACGCGTGCGATACGCATGCGCAATGGAGAGAAACTACGACTTGCCTTAGCGGCGATGTTTTCGATGGTACTGCGCATGCGTGTGTTTACAACCGCAGAACCCTAACACCAACCCTAATCCTATCCTTAACCCTATCCCTAATCCTAACCCTAGCCCTAATCCTATCCCTAACCCTAGCGTTAGTTCTTGCATTGCTATTTCTAAATACCCTATATTTAGCTCTATGCACAAAATCACTAAATATTTAGGAATTATCGTAAGACATCGTGGTCGAGTGGAGAATGCAGATCTTCCTGATTCTCGAACAGTTACATGATCAGAACCTGTCTATGCTCTCGTTTTTGCGAGAAGTAGTAAATTGTATTTATCTAAGTTTAACATTCCATTGAGTTGTTTGTTTGCATAAGTGTCTTTTTTAAATTGTTATTTTTTTTAAATAGATTATATATTTTTTTTAGATTTAGGTTTTTAAACACGCCAATTATAAAAACATCGTTGCTCTATTGATCGCCCGCTCGTGTTTTCTGGTCAGCGCAAGAAAAATACCGACACGGTCTAGCCAGGGTCACTTTGAATTCAACTTGGTTTAGATGTGAACAGTGTAGGCGTGTATAGCATACGTCATAGCAAGACCATTGCTATGAGCTTGTCAAGATTTGTCTTCGTCGTAGCCCCCCCCCCCCCCCCAACCCAGCAAGAGGGAAAAACTGATTTGGGGTCATTGTGAGTTCAAATGTTACATATTGCTTCTATTAAAGCGTACTACAATGCATGCGAGATATTCGTGTTCAAAAAAACGGACCCGGGAGGTGTAGGCTGCAGCCTATAGAGCTTTTTTATACAATTATATGGACGGATAGTCCTATGAAATCAAATTACGTTTAACAGAAGAAAAAAAATAAAACACATTTTAACATGCGCGCTCAACATTGGCTCGGCCAGAAAAATTCATACCATAGGCCATAATTATATTATAGATCTAACGACACCCACTCATCATAACATTTGTCAGTAATGATATCGGGTATTTAAAGCAAGATCTCAATATATCATTTAGAATTACAAGGAAAAAAATCACAACAGAAAAGATATATTCTGCATCTTAAAAGAATTTTTGTATAACTAAATCCTAACAATTCTATTGGCTGGTCCCAATAGCGACAGAGGCTATTAGGACCCGGGTCTCCAAAGGCGGCCGTGGCTATTGGGACCTGGGACCGAATAGATGCATCCTGTTTTTATTTTTGAAGATATGCCATTAATCATGTCACAAACGATTAAAAAATTAACAAACATAACCCTTTCATGAACAACGGGAAAAATAAAATTTTGATAATAGGAGGCATTAAGTAAGTGTCAAAAGGCAAAGTATCTGATGGGCTCGAACCAGCACCTTTAAGCACAGCAGCCACCCACATTTCCACTCGACCAAACAGCTTCATGCTTAATTTGCTGTTTTTAACATTATATCTGTCATAAACAGTTAGGACTGTGAATAGCCCTAATACGGCTATTCCCAGTCGACTGGGAATAGACGCTTCAATTTTTTAATGAAGAAAAAAACGAAGAAAAAATTCATAACGTTTTAGTTTATAGTCAGATTTTTTAAATTCAAAATGATCTATAATAAGATTAACATCTTCTATCCAAATATATAACTATTATGCCTATACTCTATAGGCCCTACACTAGATCTATATATAGATCTAGGCCTATATACTATCTATATTGTTTTACTAAAATTACATTTTTGCATTGGCTTAGCTAACTATTTATCAATCTAAAGCCTAATTTATTGGCCCCTACTAATAATTAAAGCTAGACGAGAGATCTATCTCTAACCAAACACAAACTAACTAAATTTGATGGTTCATTTTGTATTTTAATTTTTGGTGGCCCACATTCTAGCGGAAAATTATCTGGATATAGCATCGGTTGTTGTTCCGAAATGGTTTAACAGTAGCTGTAAAAAAAAAATGTAAATATACTAAAAAATAGTGTAAGGTAGCAATAATCACTAATTCTAAAAACATTATCGCTTCCTAACCTGACACATGACTTCAGACAATTTTTATTCTTAGTTCAGTTACCTTCATAGACTATTGCATCTATATTTAAATAAGATAAATAAAATATTAGAAATAATAATATTTTTTCCCAAATTATATTATGAAAAGACAAAAACTATGTTTTAGATTATTGAATATAGTTACGCCTTATATTTGAACTAGTATATATATATATATATATATATATATATATATATATATATATATATATATATATATATATATATATATATATACCAATATCCCATTTATGCCCACCCCAATCTTCATGGTCTTTTAGCCTCAAATTAGAAGGCTAGCCCAGTTTCTTTTTGGACATTCATTTATGATTTCCATGGGATAGAGGGAGGGGTCAAAATTTCTTTTTCTGCATAAATGTGCACTTTAAAAATTCTAGACATATTGCAGATTTTCTGATATCTAGTTTGGACAAATATATATATAAAAAATAAAGATACAAACTGATAAACAAATTAGAGTAGTAGTAGTTGTAGCAATGGGTACACCATTAGTATTGTAAACTTATTAATTAATCAATTCTAGAGCAGAACTTTACAAAATGCAATAAATCAAGTACATTGTTGTAATGAATCGTTTTTTAAAAACATTTTGAGATGTTGCCTTTTTCATTCTGAATTTTAAAACTGCTAGCAGCAAAACCATTTAGTCATTTATTTAACTTTCTGTCAATTTCTAAAAAAAATTCTAAACATGGAAATCATGAATGTAAGATGTAACTTGTAAGCATGAAATGCTACTTTAATAGAGTATTATTTTTTATTAATTACCACAATAATAGAATCTTCTTTATTCAGGATCTAGTTGCAGGTTTAACTAAGGCAGTCTGTAGTCAGCACCCTGTGTATTATGCAGAAACCTTACAGCTTAGTACTCAAACACACAATATTATCATTAAAAAGGTACACAAGTTTAACTGGTGCCATGCAAGGTTTATCAATATCTCATAAACTGTAAAAATAGAGGAAAGTTAAAAGTGTTTTTTAAATACTTTAAAATTGTCTATAAAAAGTAACAATACTATATAGCTGGGATTGGTATACATGTTGTTATTGTAAAAGTTTCTTCATTGTTTCTCACATCCCCACCCCGTAGCTAGTCCCCTGTGGGAAATCCCTCTGCGCACCCCTGCTACGATGTTTTTCAAACTAGTTATTTATGTATGTTTGTTTTCAATTCTTTTTGTTTCTATAAATGATAGCTTAATAAGAGTTAAAGTAGGTAAACTATTGCTATAACACATTTGTCTTAGTAAAGTAACTGTAAAAAAAAATTAAACATTTTTTGAAATTTGTTACATAATTTATGATTGGACCTTATCACAATGCAGTTATGTGCATGACTAAAATTTTGTTGTTTATTTTTCAGTTTTTGTTTTGAGCAAAATTCTGCAACAAAAGTAAGGTTCAAAATATAAAGTTAAAGGATCACTTAAGGCAAGCTGTGTGCACTTATATTTCATGTCTAAAGATTTTGAAAACATTGCATAAAATAATGGAAGTCGGTGATCAAAACATTTTTCAAGAAGACTTGTTTTCCTTGATAGACAAAGCTGCTAAATCTGGTCGTGTAGCAGACATGGTTGAATGCTATAATTGTATTAAAACAACAAGCACAAACTGTAGCCAAGAGATCTTAGACTCTGGCCTTCTATCAGCTTGTTGTTATGGAAGAAAATTCCTGGTGCATGTACTCCTGTCTTACGGTGCCAACATGGAGACAAGAGACGATGATGGCAACACACCACTTTTGATATGTGCTGAGAAAGGTTTCACAGAGATAGCTCTGTCACTGGTTGAAAAAGGCGCTGAAATCAACAGTTACAATAAAGACGGTGATACTGCTCTTTTACTAGCAATAGAATCATCCGGGTGTTCTGAACTTGTGGTCGAACTTGGAGACAAAACTGGTATCAATATTTATCATAAAAATAATCAAGGATACACTGCTTTGATGAAAGCTTTTGACGTTTTTGACCTACCTACTGCTGTTCACTTGCTTACAAATAATGAGGAATTGTTTGAAAGTGTGTCTAAGTCTAAGACAGATCTGTTGGAGAATTTGTGCTCCAGCTTAAATTACACAGCTGATGCCGATGATAATGTAAGTGTTCATTCAATTGCCTCGTTAGTTATTGACCATGTATTAGATGGTGGAACGTTTTTAGAAAAGGCAGTGTTGAATAAAGATATTCAAATAATACAACTGTTATTAGATAGCGGAATGTCTGGTTTTTATTGTAGTACTTTAGATGAAAAAATAATTTCCAAGTTTTTAACATCACTTCTATACAGTTCAAAAGAGATTAATGAGCGAGATTTAAATATCATTAAAGTTCTGATAAAAGCTGGCGCTCCATTGAACTCTACTTTTAGGGTTGTTGAAGACAGTCCCTTATTCCTAGCTATCAAAATAGGCAAGTTTGAGTTGGTAGAAATGTTATGTTGTCATGGAGCTGATGTAAACAAATGTGATCATACAGGTCAGAACCCTTTAGTTGTAGCTGCTAAAAGTGGTCGCTGTGACATGATGAACTTACTGATTAAACATGGAGCGAATGTCAACTCAACTGAGACTTGTTTGGCATTGCTTGTTTCCTTTGAGGGTTCCAAGTTAGATTGTGCTAAACTACTTGTTAAACACAGAGCAAAAATGGATATGGTAAAAGCAGTTAATGTTGTTTTAAGAACTGGTGATCCAGAACGATTTTTGTTCTTGATGGAACATTTTAAGTCTGATTTTAGCTTTTGGATAGATAGTGCTGGGAACGAGTTAATAAACAAAGCAGCTGAGTTGGGACATAAAGACTTAATAAAACTACTGCTTGAGCAGGGAGTTGATGTGAATGCGAGTTACAATGACAAAACTCCCCTGGTTTCAGCCACTGATCCTGAAGTTTTGGAATTCCTTATCAATCTTGGCGCTAATGTTAATAAGCAAATAAAATCATATTTTGACACCTGCACTGCCTTAATCTGTATATTGCGAAAAGAATTGTTTGTGCCTAGACAACATGCGCTGGGGAGAGTGCAGACCCTACTGCGACATGGGGCTAATGTTCAGAGCTGTGACACAAATGGGGATTTTCCATTACTATTGGCTGTAAAAAATTATGATTCTCTGGAAATCACTGAAGCTCTACTACAAGCTGGAGCTAATGTTAATCAGTTAAACAATGATGGAGTGAGTGCATTGCATGTTGCTGCACAGAGTCGATCACTGTCAAAGGTAAAGCTGCTACTTGCACAGGGTTCAGATGTCAACATAAAAACTACCACGGAACAAACTCCTCTGCAGTATGCATTCAGCTCTCCCGACCCCCAAATAATACAGCACTTAGTTGAACAAGGAGCGAGTGTCAATGTTGTTGATTATAGAGGAAATACACCATTGCTTCTTGCAAGTTCTCTAGAAAATGATGCAGTCATAAAAAGCATTGTGAAAGCAGGGGCAGACATGAACCACCAGAACAACAGAGGGTATACTGCTCTAATGCTTGCGGCAAAAAAATGTAAACCAATGGCAATCAAAGCATTGTGTGAGTCAGGGGCTGATGTAAATTGTATCAGTACAGCAAGGGTAGGTACTGCTCTTTCTCTACTGTTAGGCAGGATTTATGTTGGTAAATTAAATTATGAGGAGTGTATAAATTGTTTGATTGAAAATGGAGCGGACTGTTCTTTTTTGCAACCTACAGTAGTTCAGAGATTAATTTACTCCAGAAGAATTAGCAGTTTAAAGTATTTGATTTCCTTAGGTTTTGGACCAGTAAATACCAGTGAGTACGGTAATACCATAAATTCACCTTTTAAAGAGGCACTAAGTAGCGGTTGTGTTGGTACTGCCAAATTCTTCAACAAAATCAGTTTTCTAACACGATGTGATGTGACAGCTTTATCTCTTAACAAAGTTTTCAGGAATTGTTTGGAAAGCAATGGTTACAGTGAATGTTTGAAATTTTTTGACGAGTACTCGTCCCAACCCATGTCTCTACAGAAACTCAGTTTTGTTGTCGTGTCGTCTGCTGTAGGTGCTGATGCTGGGAGAAAAGAACGGGTGAGAAAACTCCCAATTCCAAAATTAATTCATGACATGCTGTTGTTCAAACATGCACAAGATGTTGATGATGAAGAATTGCTTGTTGAACAAACTAATATCTATGACTAGAACAAACATGCGCAAGATGCTGATGATGAAGAATTTTTGTTGAACTAAGATCGATGACTAGCACAAGGTGCTCAAGATGTTTATTTTGAGTTTAAATCAGATGTTGATATTGATTTTAGAGAAATTCTTGTTAAACAAACATCCATATTTCTATTCCAGTATACACATTCATTTGCATGAAAGATGTCACTTTGTATGATAAAATTATTTTTATACCGCATTTGTTTAGTTTTATCAAGCTAGTCACATTTAACACATTACATCTTTACATTAGACTAAGTGATATGTAACATTTTAAAAATTGTAATATTACATAAAAATATGTAAATAAAAATTGATGTAGATAAGTAAAATTGTCATAATGTACCTCAATTGTACCAGATTTTGTTACACAGAAATTAAAACCCCAGCATGTTGATTAAAATCCTCTCCATGTCTTGATTCATTTAATTGTTTATGAATTTTGTTTAATTTAGGAAGCTTAGTATATTTAATTTTTTTTTTACTTTAATTAAAAGGATGAAAGACATATATAGTTTTAAAATTATCACATGGTGATGCTTTGTATAGGCCTATGTCTGTAAGGTTGTATGGGCCTATGTCTATAAGGTTGTATGGGCCTATGTCTCAAAGATTTAGTTATAATCTAAGCTTTAAGATTAAAGGAGAAATCTCAATGAAAGAAAAGTTATTTTAAATTAAAATTTAACTTAAAAGTATCATTAATATTTCACGTTTGAATAAATAATATGGCTTAAAATATTGTCATGGAGTATGACTAAAAATAAACATATGAGATACATTTAGCAACATAGTATTAAACATGTTTAATGATTCAAGGTTAATATTCATTTATTACAATAATTATGCAAGATGTGAATATACATTATACGTTAAACTTCATTGAACTGTTACACAAATAGTAACATGGCAAATATACGAATAACATGTGATAAATGTACCTCGTAGAAAGTTGAGTTAGGATGAAGACACATAAGGTCAAATGACAAATGTAACAATCTTCAAAAAGTTAAAGTTTAAGGTAACTTATTTGTAAAACAAACCTTGTGCCTTCATTTGTCAGTTGGAGAACTCACAAGTTTAAAAATTGCCATCTTTTAATTGTTTTGAATGAACTATTGTATCTGCACTTTGCTCTTTAGATGTGCATGTAATTTACTAGTGCATTCAGATACCCTTCCCTCCAGTGTCTCTTTCCCACATTTTTCTCCCTTGTTGGGAGTGGGGGGGGTCAATGGTTTGAAATAAATATTTTCTATATAATCTTGTATTTTGATCCTGATGCTGGTGGAGGTTCTTTGAGGAGATGCATACTTCACACATGGCTATTCATATTATTTTTTTTAAATATACAATTTTGTTTTTAAAAATGTGCTTTATAGTATAGCATATTTATAATTACAGGCAAGTTCTCTTCTTTTGTCTATATGCCAAACTAATAAAATACATACATAGTGGCTGGTTGACCTATTCAACGAGAGTTCTATTAAAGTAATTTATAAAGCGGCAATTTTCTTGAATGATGGCTATACTTACTGTGAGTTTGAAAGATGACACATAACGCCATAAGGGGTCGTCCATAAATGACGTCACACTCGTAGGGGGGGTCCGTAATTTTGTGACGGTGTGTGATGAGGGGGAGGGGGTGTTTCACTTGGTGCGACGTCACACTTTTGCATTATAAAAAAGCAATGTTAGAAAACGAATTTTCGACGTTATTTCGCGTTTTAGAAAACTTAATAAAGTGTAATAGAAATTGATTAAAATACTCTATGTTAAGAGAGTTCAGATAAAATTTTCGAAAAATATCGATGTTTTATAAAAAATTCAAGCCTACATTCAGTTTTGAATGTTATTTATCTACCCACTTAGGTAACGTAACTCTTTATTTACTGGATCATCCAGAGATTGCACATAAGTCAATTATTTTTTATGGTTACATCCCCTTATTTTGTCAACCAGGCGTTGAACATTTAAAAAAAAAAACTAGGCCTATTTCAACTTGATTTCCTTTAAAATAATGAACTTTTATGTAAATAATCAACAAGTGAAGCAAAGGAAGCGAGTTAAATAAAACTTTTAAAAAAATGTACTACACGGAATGTTTTATTTTATCATGATGTCACACTCTTAAGGGGGGGGGTCCCGTAATTTTGTGATGAGGGGGAGGGGGGTTCAGATGGTATGACCACACATTATAAACAAGCAATGTTAGAAAACGAATTTTAGCCGTTTTTCGCATTTTTAAAACTGTTTTAATAAATTGTATTACGTATTGATTAAAATAATCTATATTGACAGAGTTAAGACACGATTTTGGAAAAATATCGTATTTTAAGAAAAAATTCAACTGCAATTCTGAGTTTTGACGTTATTTTAGGGAGGGGGGGGGGGTTCTGGCTTTTTGTGACATATGGGAAAGGTAAGAATCGTCTTAAAAATCGAGACGTCATTTATGGATGACGCCCCCCCCCCCCCCCATGATTTCTTTTAATCTTTCCAAATACGTTCCACTATAATGACAATACAAGTCTATCTATTTTTAATTTAATTAGATGTTTAATTAGTCAATAAGCATCAATTAAACGTATTCAAAACTAAGGGGAGATAACAAAAATATTCAATAGCAGAAGGGTAGATAACTAGCTAGACGCGATCACCCGAACAGTCTGGGGAGCTGTGGTTAATGAGAATATTCACAATCCTAGTGCCGAACAGACAATATAGTTTCTAAATGATTTAAAAAAGGGGAGGTAGCAAGATTAAGAAATATCCTTCAATTTATCAGCTTGCCGCTGTCTGTAAATCAGTGTTTCTTCCAGACTTTTTTCTTGGGGGGGGGGGGGAGGGGGGCACTTGATATTTTCGCTGGAGGGGCCTGAGGAGGAACTCTGATAAAAGTATATATTTTCTATATAAATTTCCATTTCGTTCATCGGCATCCCGATGAGATGCCTGAAAGAAACACTGCTGTAAATTGTGCTCAAGGGGGCAGACACTCGTCTTTTAGAAATGGCGAGCTATTGATGGTGTTTTCAAGCAAATATTTTTAGTCGACTTGTCGACTTCATAAATTAGGAATCACTAAAAAGTAGACAATATAAATCTAATATAAAAAACATATATACCAAAAAGCTTATAAGCCTAAATAATGCTCTGAAAATAAGAAAATAAAACTCATTTACTTTCATTAATAAATTGGTCGCTCACAGAGGCGTCGCGAGGACGGGGGATGAGAACCGCACCGGGTGACACCAGTTAGGGTGGTGACTGGTGACATCAAGACAAAAAAGTTGCAAGATATATAGAATAATTAATGTTTTTTGACAGTTCAATGAATGGTTAATTAGAGCTAAAAAATATTTTAAGTACATTATGATCGCGACAGGGAGGGGGATGGGGCAACATGACATAAATATGCAAACTATAGAGAAAAAAATGCTACACGTGTACCATGCTGTATTAACAACTGACTATAAATAAACATCATTAGTATTAAATGTGAAAACTTTAAAAACTTTAAAGCTTTTATCGAGGGTGGAGTGAGGTGACACCAACTGCAAAATTTACAGAGGAAAAACACGGGGGAGGATGACGCCATGAAGTGTCGCACCGGGTGACACCCGACCACTGTTCGCTCATGAGATCTTTTACATATTTTAGCGACAAAAGCTATACTAAAAAGAATAGTTTTATTTCCTTATTTTCCGAGCATTTAAAATCTAATTGCTATAAAGATTTTTTTTGTTTTATTTACCTTCAAACATTTTTAGATCTAGGTCTATATTGAATTTTGTAAACGTAACTCGTTTACACTTACGACATGTATACTATACATTTCTAGAACACAAAACCCGCCAAAATTTATTTTTATCTGGAGACATTTTGTTCACAGAACATGTATACTTTAGCGTTCACACTTACGGAACATGTTATAGAACATTTTTAAAAAACAAACAAGACCTTTGACCTGGAGCGTCTGCTATATAAGCCTAGATAATTAAAAGAAAGAGTAATCAAAGTAAAACATAAATAAAACAACGTAGATATAGTGGTCACACAGATTTATTATTATTATAGGAAAAAGGTGTAGTCATTGTGCCTACAATGGAACAATAAATTATCTAAAAATTAGAGAACATGCAACATTTAAGAAATTGTATTGGAGTGTCAGCAACTGAGCTAGAAATAATGTTAGTTCTGTATAATAGCACGGGACTATTACCCACCTGCTACTACCTCACTCCTATCCCTTCCCTCCCCACCCCTAATCCCTTGCAGTAGCTACGCTACTGCTTATTATCTCTTTAATTAAATCCCAAACACGTTTTAATTTTTAAAAATGTAGTGTCCAAGGCATTACAATTTTGCCTTAAATCCAGTTTAGGTATTAAATGCGAAAATAATAATTAACTACAAAATTTATTTAACCAAATGTATCTCAAATTTTTCCTTGACCAATATTTTGTTTTAGTGTATCAACATATTTTCAGTTTCCGTCTGACATGAATAAATTTTTAGGCCCACCAGAATGTGCTCGTGGGATCACACATAATCAACTGAGTATAAAAATAGGCAGATAAAAAAGCCATAGGCTAATTATTTAGGTTCAGGATGGGACATAATTAACATAAAGAAACGACGGGGGGGGGGGGGGGGGGGACGGGACTGAGAGTCACATAGGCCTTACTCTAAAAGCTAGATCTACTTTCTTTTCTTAATAATAGACTCAGTATAGCTGTAACGCGATCTCAATACGTTTAATAAACTGGCAGATGCAAGTTTTCGAAGACATCGAGCCTTTCAGCAAACAAATATTTAGTCCTGTTCATCCAAAGCTGTTTCTGAAGGATATAGACAAGCAAAGAAGCTGGGGGAAATGGCTACAATGAGGTTGGGGTGGGAAGGGGTGATTGTACTGCGGGATGGAAGGGGGGGTGGGGGGTGGTAATAACATGTGAATGTCTACGACCCGTGCTATTATACACAGCATTATACTTATAAAAACTGTCTAACTCCATTTGCTGGCACTCAAATAAAATTTATAAAATCTTGCATGTTCTCTAATTTTTAGATAATTCATACTAGATTATATATAGCAGACGCTACGTGTCAAAGGTCATGCTTGTTTTATAAAATGTTCTATAACATGTTCTGTAAGTGTGAACGCTAAAGTATACATGTTCTGTGGTAGAAATGTCGTAAGTGTAAACTCGGAGCAAATTACCGCGAAAACGTGGGTCTAGCCCGTAGTGTCGAAACGAAAGTACAAAAATTTTAGTATTGTCCGTACTGTCGAAATTATTTTTTGCTATTTAAAATATTAGATGTTGATTATAGTTATAAATGTTTTTGATTTCCTCAAAATATATCACAAATACAATATGTAATTTTGTGGGGGGAATTTAATGGATTTTATATTAAAAAAAACATTCTTTTAACAGTGTCCGCTCCCCCCCCCCCCCCCAGGTGAAAAAAAGTCTGGAAGAAACACTGGCCTGGGTGGAAACTTACTAACAAAAAACAAAATTATACCCGAACCGATGGGGTTAAACTTGAATGTCACTTAGGTTAGATATGATAATGCAATGTGCCACGAACTTTGACATAATTAGAGGTGTTTCGTTCCTTTTTTAAATTAATTAAATATTTCTATGGCCTATAGTGCACACTTACTTATAATTTAAGGCCTATATATAATAAATATAAGCCTTTTTTTAAAAAAGAAAAACGTAAATAGTAACAAAATATATGCGTGCACTATAAAGATGTATGGGACGGAGTGGTCTGGCGGTCGAGTTCGAATCCGGGTTCAAGTCAGTAGAGTCCCTGAGTCCACCCAACTCTGATGGGTACCTAACTCACGTTAGGGAAAGTAAAGGCGGCTGGGCATAGTGCTGACCACACTATCTCTTCATATGCCGAGGTCACAGAAACAAGTGAACTCTACTCAGTGGCGTAGCGAGGTCGGATGTCACCCGGTGCGGCACTTAATGGTGTCACCCAACCAGAGGCGTTGAGACCCTTCCCGGGGACAAACTTTCAAGTTTTCGATTTGCACCCCCCCCCCCCCCCCTCAAACTTTTGATGTGCACCCCCCCCCCCTCAAGTTTTTCTCTATATATTTTGCTATTTTTTGCCTTGGTGTTACCCCCCTAAATGGTGTCACCCGGTGCGGTCCACACCCCCGCCCCCCCCCCGCCCCCTCGCTACGCCCCTGACTCTACTTCACTTGCCCCATAGACCGTCAGGTTTGAAAGGGAAACTTTACTTTACTTACTAAAAAAGATGTAGATCTAGAATCTAGAACTAAAACATAATGACAAAACATTATTAGCTTTAAACATAAAATTGCATCATATTTACATAACTGTTCGTGACTATATATACACCCTTCTCCAATGCATAATATACAGCGATCCATGCTCTATTTATATTATATATATTTGGTTTATATAAAATGTGGTGCATTAATTATTGTGTTTAAAGATAGTCATTTTATTTTATTCTTTTTTTAAGACAGTTGTTATATTTTTTATTAGTATTATTCAACAAATTTAATTTATATCAGTCTCATTTTGTTGTGACCGGGCACCCAAAAACATTTCAAAGTGCAATATTTAACTTTAATTGTGTTTTTCAAGGTTTCTAATTCTAATCTAAATTTAGATGTGTTAGCTGAGCCTAGTTTGAAGCCTTGAGTAGCCTATATGTTAAATGGCCCACTCTCCTGTCACCTGTCTATATAAAAAGGTTGGTTATTGGGCGTTTGACTACTATCCGTAGGTCTTGAGTTTAGATCCCAGAATCAAGTACTTAGGACGTTGACTCAGATCTGATGGGTACCTGACTATGTTTAATAAAGGTCATAGAACCGACCACATTATTATTATCACTTCTTATGGGTCTTCAATGGTCACGGAAACAGGAAAACTCTTCTTTGAAGTATGCCCTACTTACTGTAAGGTTCGAAATGGTATTTCCACGTGCTTTATTTTTCTGTAAAATGATTATTATTGTAGTTCAAATTGGATTTCTCCGACGAAGTTTAAACTTAGAAATCTTTTTATTTTTTAATAAGGGGTCATGCATAAATGACCTCACGCTTCCCCCTACCCTCCGTCACACATCGTCACAAAAAATCAAGACCCCCCCCCCCTAAATGACGTCACAACCTCAGTCTACAACCCACCCCCCCCCCCCCTTAAAATTGCTGTAGAATTTTTCTTATAACATCGATATTTTTCCAAAATCTTGTCAGAACTAGATGTATGTCAACATAGAGTATTTTGATCAATTCTACCACAATTTATTAAAAATCGTTTTGCAAAACGCGAAATAATGGCTAAAACTCGTTTTCTAACATTGCTTTTTTTATAATGCAAAAGTGTGACGTCACACCATCTGAACACCCCTCCTCCCCCTCATCACACACCGTCACAAAATTACTGCCCCTCCCCCCTACGAGTGTGACGTCATTTATGGATGACCCCTAAAATATAATTAGTAAAAGAAAAAGAATGGAAATCTGTAGGTGATTCTAAGTGATGTCGCACTTCAAGCGTGAGGGGTGGGGAAATCCTAATTTGAAGTTAGGTGACGATTTGTAAAATATTACAGTTAAAATCTCTGTTGGTGTTGTGTTAGGGTTAGGGTTCGCTTAGAGTTACAATTAATCTAATCGTTTGTTAGAGGCAGTCTGTACATTACTATAGATTACATATTCTAATTTAATTCAGTTAAGTTTAGTTCAGTTTAGTTTAGTTAAGTTTAGTTAATTTATATGTTTATATTAGATGGTGATGATCTATATTAGATCTGTTTATTATAATCATACGCGTTGATATATTAGCTTAGAGTTGTGTTAGATTATGCTTTGGGTAAATTTAAAGTATGGGTTGGTTTTGCCTTTCACCGTTGTATAAGGGGGGTCGTCCATAAATGACGTCACACTCGTATGGGGGGAGGGGGCCGTAATTTTGTGATGAGGGGAGGGGGGGGGTCAGATTGTGACGTCACCTTTTTGCATTATAAAAAAAAAGCAATTTTAGAAAACGAGTTTTAGCCGATATTTCGTATTTTAGAAAACTTTTAATAAATTGTAATAGGAATTGATCAAAATACTCTATGTTGACAGAGTTCTGACAAGAATTTGGAAAAATATCGATGTTTTAAGAAAAATTCAACAGCAATTATGAAGGGGGTTGTAGGCTGAGGAGTGACGTCATTTTAGGGGGTTGGAGGTCTGGCTTTTTGTGACGACGTGTGGTGGAGGGGGGGGGGGTAAAAATCGTCATAAAAAAGCGTGACGTTATTTATGGATGACCCCTAAGTCGTTTAGTTTCTCTTAGACGACTACGTTTTCCGGAGGGGGGGCGGACACTGGTAAAAGTATGTTTTCTATATAAATTCCGTTTCATTCGGGGGGGGGGGGGGAAGCGGTAGACTTTTCTTCGGGGGGGGGGGGGGGGGAGATGCCTGGAAGCAGTGTTTCTTTTCCAGACTTTTTTTCTCCGGGGGGTGCACTTGAATTTCTTTGGGGGGGGGGGGGGGGCGGACAACAATTTCCGGGGGGGGGGGGGGGGCGGACACTGTCGAAAGTATATATTTTCTATATAAATTCCATTTTGTTCGGTAGGGGGGGCGGTGAAAGAGATGCCTAGAAGAAACTCTGCCTGGAAGAAACTCTGCCTGGAAGAAACTTTGTTCTTGTATTTGTTCTCTCTCAAATTGATTAAACCATCATAAAGAAGTCGCATCCCACCTTGCCGAGCTTTGACTTACGTTGGTATTGTTTTATATACTATTGTCATCGTGGATTCTGGAGCTAATCGCTTAAAGTTTGTAAATATTAGTGAATGAGGCTGACCAGGCGAAATTTTGTTTTTCTCTGGGTCACGAGTAAACTTTTCTTCGTCAGATTCCTGTATCTTACCTTGCACCAGAGTGGATGTACTTGAGAAAGTTGGCATTGGAGTAACTCAGTCTTTTAGAGCGGCAAATAGATTGCGGGGGTGAACACGTACAACACTATTTTAGTTAACGAGTAATATACTTGACGTGTAACTAACTAGTACCTACTTATAAAGTTCATGAAGTCTAGATCATTGTTAGAGACAGAAAGTATTTTATTACCGGTTTACTAACAAACATTAGGGTACTCTTGTAAATTCCCTAAATCTGACATCCTCACCTACTTCTGTAATAAAGGTGATCCACCTCCTCCAAGCAAAAGTTTGAAATTAATCTGATTAATCCTGTCATAAATGAAGCTCTCGTTGTTCATGAAGCGCCGTAACTAGCATCCCTTTCTGATATTAGACACTTGCCCTAACCCCCCCCCCCCCCCCCCCATAAACCTCTCGTACATAAAACCACACTGGTATATTAATCCTTTGCTTTTTATTAAGCACCTGTCAGTGTCATCAAGCCATACATATCTTGCAACATATTACAGCTCAATTAGTTGTACAAGCCCATGTAGTACTTTCAAGCCTATTTACTAGTGATTGAGACATTGTCGCCTGTGCTGGTATCCTACATTTTTAAAAGCTTGTCAGTGGAATATATCATATATACTTTGCTACAGAGGCGTAGCGAGGGCGTGGAGTGCGAACTAGCGACGTCACTGCTTTGCTATACTTTAATGTATGTGTTAACTATATATATGAAGATTGATAATGTGCATAATTATTTTTTTTTTTAACCTTCCAATACAGATGCATAAAAATATGCAATTTGCAATTCTCTTGAATTACTTTTACTAATACTAGTGTAAATCATAGTAAATGCTAGACATGTTTACTACACTGTGAGATGAATGCCCTTCCCCCCCCCCTCCCACTACAAGAAAATTACAGGTACACAAACTGGCTACTTAAATTTATACTATAACATGACATTGAACTACACAAAAAAAAACAAGAAGCGATAGTTTACTTGTTTAAAAATTGTATACACATTAAAAGAATACTTTTGATGCTACAATTAAGTAATAGATCATATAGGTTACAAGTGGACAAGTAAGTAGATAGATAATAAATCAATATTATCAGATTTCAGTATGCTCAATAACTAGACAAAATGGAATCAATACATACAACCTCCACGATAAATAAAAATTTGATGGCAAGAGACTATCTCTAATCCACATCTTAATCTAACAAGTTTTTAATATTATATGACTGTGTGTAACTAGACCTTAGTTTCACACACAAACATAAATATATGCATATATATATATATATATATATATATATATATATATATATATATATATATATATATATATATATATATAGATACACATATTTATAAACAAATACTGCGTAGCAGAATATCTCTACATGAAAGCCAACCTGGTGAAAAAATTGAATTTGCACATTCAATCGCTAAGAAATTCAGCAATATTATCCAACACCTCTACAAAGACTCCAACTGCCAGATTATCCACTAGTTAACCAGCCCTTTTTCAGTGAGTACAGAAATATTATAAGCTTTTCACCAATAAAGTACATCAGACCAAAAGGTTCAAATACAGTGGACCCTCACTTAGCTGGACGTCTAGATATTGAGGATGCTATACTCTCACATTGACAACATGCCCAATCCACGCTAAGCAAACTATGATGAACCTTCTTAATATAGGCTTAATGATCAACTGGAAAAAACAGAAGAGATAAGAATCAACAACAAACAGGAGTTCCACTTAGGATACAAGAAATGACTATTTTGGAGCAGGATCACTTGACACATTTAGGATCTGTTGTAAGAAGATGGGGGAGCAGATGAGGACATCAAAAGACATATCAGCAAAGTATCCAACATCCTCCGCACAATATGGATGTCAAGAGCTGTCTACAGTTTTCCAAATATGACTGTTGAACAGCAATGTAAAATTTGTTCTCCTCTATGGTTCTGAGACTTTCAATAATGAATGGCTGTGTAGCAAACTGAACATCAGGTGACCTGAAAAAATAACCATCTGTGATGTTCTAACATCCATCTTGAAGAGACGCCTTAACCCTCAGGCTGGTAAATCCTGGGAAACAAAAAATACACATTCTGTAAGAAAATAAAGACAACTGTTTAATCTTTAAAGAGACCCCCTCCACCAGTTGCTGTTATGGTGACATATTAAAACTGGAATATCTTGAGTGTGGAAATTGTACTAAAATAAAGATTTTCTACAAAGGTCTACCCTTTATTTCAAACATTTGTTTGACAATGTGGCTTTGGCAAACATGCTGACTGATATAGCACACATTTTGAATTAAGAGTAAGATATCTGAGTTTTTTACATTTAGAATCAATAGTGCCCACATATTAGTTCATGTATGAAAATATCTTTTTTAGTTTAGTTCAACTCATTTATAGCCCTACTAAATATTAAAATAAAATAGCATCAAAAAATTGTTTTAGTTACCAGTTATACTATGATAGCACCTTCCAGCAAGATTTCACTGTTTTATTAATCCAGGTTCGCTGCAGACAAACAAAATGTTTTGGTTAACAAATTAAAAATATCTGTATCACATCACTTAAGTTTATTTAGCCTGACGGTCCATGGGCAAGTGCAGTAGAGATAAGCTGTTTCTGTGACTTCAGCTTATGAAGGGATAGTGTGGTCAGCACCATGCCCAGTCTCTTTTACTTTTCCTAACGTGAGTTAGGTACCTATCAGAGCAGCTGGGTGGACTCAGGGAAGTTCTGCTGACTTGAATCCAGATTCAAACTTGAGATTTTGGGTTATACAGTCTTGCTCCATAGCTAAGCCACACCATCACCTTACATAATTTGCTTTAAATCAAATGTTTGCACCCCACTTCTCATTGGGAAGTACATTGCAGTACAGTTGGTGCTTGTTTAGTGTAACCTTAAATTCACAATGATAAATAAACAAATGATTTATAAAATATAACTATATAGGCCTACAAATAATACAGTGGATCTGAACAATTAATTCTTAAAGTAACATACATGGTAGTACTCTAGCCACTTGAATACAGAGTACAGAGGGTTGTAAATCAGTTGATTGCAGTGTTCTAGAACATTGTTGGTATCTTTGTCCCTGTGTCTGTCTTATTCCTGTCTCCATGTTGAGAGAACCTGAAGATTAAAGTTTTGAAATTAGTAAAAATTTAAATAAAGTGCTTAGTCTAAGGCCCAATGGCATCGCTAGATCGGGTGTCACCCAAGTAACGAGGTTTATCTTTAGTCTGTTAATAATACAGTTGGAACTTGGATGTAGCAATGTTTTCTCTATAGTTAGTACCTTTACGACGTTTACGACATGGTATCACCCCCACCCTCTGGTAATAATTGTCAATTTATACTTAAAAGACTATTTAACTTTAATTAATCATTAATGGGACTGGCAAAACAACATTTTTCTTCTGTATATTTTGCAATTTTTTGCCTTGGTGTCACCCCCTTAAATAGTGTCATCTGGTGCAGTCTGCACCCCCCACCCGTGCCATGCCAGCTAAGGCAAGGGTTATCAATAAAAATGTTATAAATAAAAAAAAAATATTAATAAATTAATAATAAACCTAATTAGGTAATTATTAGTAATTAATTATTAATAATGTAATATTAATTATAATTATTAATTAAAAATTAATAATAAAATACGCTCAACTGGAGGTGAACGTGAAACGGGGAATATAATACGTTAAAATAGAGTTTTACCCCTTCTAGATGTAGATCTAGATCTAATTATTGTGTAATTTACTAATCAGTGCCAAGATCTATTTTATTTTCTACAAAAAGATCTTGATATTTCCCACCAAATTGATTAATTATGTTTTCTGTTAAATCTACTCCAGTTTCGGTATCGTAAATTATTTAAGTAAAATAAACAACGATCTTAGCTGTTCGATTACTTTAAAATATTTCAGCGGGATTTTTGACAGTACGGCCAAGTTTAAAATATCTGTACTTTCGTTTCGACACTACGGGCTAATCCCGAAAACGTTGGGCCTAGCATAGTTTTTAATTCTACTTTCGATTTCCTCCAAACTAAAATGGAAAAGCGTGAAGGTAAGTAGATCTAGATCTAAATCTAGGATCTAGACTAGAATACTAGATCTAGATCTAGTAAGTAGAGATCTAGAATATAGATTTATGTATAATCTAGATTCTTGATCTAACTACTAATTTTGTTAGATCGTGATGATACAGATACTAGTCTAATACTAGATCTATCATCTAGTAGTTAGATTCTAGGATAATCCCTTAGGCCTAGTTTAGCGTCGGTTATTATTCCGGAATCGTATAGCAGTAAAAAACAGTAAAACAATGCCAAAGTCTGTCACACACTTCCGGAATTCACCGGAAGTACTGTAAACCATACTTTATTTGGCGTCATCTTTTATTTTTATACAGAATGTTAAAATTTTGGATAGTTTTATTTTTGTAATCATTTTTACATTTTGTAATCATTTTTACTATTTTCATATTTTCGTAATCTAGATTTTTTTACTTGGTCTAGCAGCTAGATATCTAGCTAGATCTAGATCTAATTAATTAATGGTCGCAAATCCGCTGCAAGCCAAAAACATTAAATCATTACATTTGACTTCATTATTTATATTAATATGTTTTTTTTTTAATTTTTAGATCTACTAATTTAAATCTACTATTATATTTATTCTTGTTTCCTTTAGTCGATTAAACTTAAAAAATTAAAACATTAATTTACTACAATCGACTTTCAATTTATTTATATTTCAATGGTCAAATAAACCATGGTTTACCGTAACTCTAGTTACCGAAACTCAACAAACATTACCCGATAATTTCCGACGCTAAACTAAGGGATTACCGATTCTAGATCTACCTGACCTAGAAGAGAGTCTAACCAGTAGTATTACTCGCTAACTTTGAGGGGTGGTCGGTTGCTAACAATATGGCGTCCCTACCAGACGCTTGATTTCCAACTTTGTTTAGGTCAAATTCAAGAGACCTTCTTAGAATTACTATTAAAAATGTTTACCACGAGAAAAATGGCGGGTTTTCACGTTATATAAACATGTAGGGCTGATAGGTAGGTCACCAAACAGTTATACGGCTCAATAAAACCTGCATGAGCCATACAACTGTTTATTGGCCTACTTACCAGCCCTATAGGTGGCCAGGGCTAGATATGCCAGAAAAGCATTTTAAAATTTGCTTTTGAGAATCATAATGAAGACTAAATTTTAAAGTCGGTGTCATTAAAATTAATAGAACTTTTAAAATATCAGCCTGGTGGGTACAAAAATGAATTGGAGATTGTAGAACTATTAAGTTTATCAGTCTATGTAAAAAGAAATCAAATATTGCTAACCACTTTTTATAAAACATGGCTTTTGAATGACAACCAAATTTAATTTTTTTAAAACCACATGACCGCTATTTGGTTATCACTAGTGAGAAACTCTGGGTGCATGGCGACTTAAAAAGTCTAACCGCATTTGTGGTTTTCTTTAGCTTCAAACATAACAAGTGTTGTCATGGAGAGTGGCAGTGAGTGACAATATAAAAATTAAATTAAGTAATTTTGTTATAAAAACCAACTAAAAACTTATAAATTAGTGCCTCATGGATCAAATAAAGATGTCTATCATTCAGTGGTCATGTTTAAATTGAAAATTGGGTAAATTTTAGATTTAGTTAGAAAATCTACGAGCTAGAGTCTAGATTAGTCTAAGATTAGTCTAGAATTCTAGATCTAGCTACATTTACCTAAGTATAATAATATTAGATCTATAGGTAATCTATTGCTCAAATTGTCAAAATGTGAAATAATTATTAAAATTTAAGGAGTCACCTGTTTTTCACATTACTAGTCGCAGGCGATTTTACATATCTAAAATGATAGATTACCTATATATCTATAATAATGGCCGCATTTGTGCGGTTCGCTCCGCGTTACGCGTAAGGCCGCCTTTGCTTAATCTTTACCCTAGGTGGCACGCGATCTAAAAAAACAAATATCAGGACTGCCCGGTATTTTTTTTTCGTGGTAACAATGTAATGTTGACATAGATCTAGATCGAGTTTAAGTGTATTTATATTATTTCAACACCTAAGAGTCTAGTACTTGTAAAAAAAACCAGTACAATGTAGTGTCAATCAGTGGGTCAGATGATAGTCCTAGATCTAGCAGCAATCTAGATCTAGATAACTCAAACTGTCCTTTAACCTTAAGGCCTAGCTATCTAGCATGCATGACAGTAGATCTAAGTCTGTATAATTATTTATCCTATGTGAAATATTTCTGTTTGCTTGACTGTAGATGTGCTTTAGGGTGTGTGTATGGGGGGGGGGGGGGATGGCGGGGCGGAGCCCCTCCTCCCAAGTAGAGTCGCCTAAAAGAAACTCTAAATGCGACTTTTGTCATGATTGAGATTAGGTGTATGGTTTAGGGGTATGGCTACGACTATGTTTAGTATGAATGTGCAGTAACTACATGTAGATCAAGCTTAAATCCGATTAAAATGCAGATTCTGGATAAAAATATGTTTTCATTGTCATTTTTCGATTCCGTTTCAATTTGAAGTGTAGGTTGTGATTTTGGTTTTGGTTTAGAGAAAAAGACATCAATATCAACCTAGCGCCAATAGTACTAAATAATAATAATAAATAAATTATAAATGTTATCTAGGTAGAAGATCTAGATCAAATTCCATGTATTTAATAACTAGTTACTAGATCAGGGGTTCCCAACCTTTTTTTTACTCTAGAGCACATTCTAAAATATGGGTAGGGTGGCGGGCACCACCTATTTTAAATCGGCAAACTCCTTCCAGAGGCGTAGTGACCCTTCCCGTCACCCGGGGACAAAACTTTCGATTTTGCACCCCCCCACCTCAAACTTTCAATTTGCCCCCCCCCCCCCCCCCCCCTTTTCAAACTTCCGATTTCCATCCCCTCCAACCTTTCAATAATGTTTATGAAAAAAAATCTGTCTCTGTCAAATAGTGAGAGGCGGGCACATACGAATCGTTCGGCAGGCTCCATGTGCCATGGCGCCCGCGGGCAATGGTTTGGGAACCCCTGTACTAGATCTAGATATATTTATTATTTAACAGGCTGTTACACATACGCTCTTTTTGTATTGAACAATATTAATAATTTCTCAGGTAAAGCAGCTGTTAACATGTCTCGGAATAAAGTTAGGAATAGCAAAGGTCCTTTGAAAGGAAATCATTTAAATCCAACCTCATGTCAGAGCTCTGACGCATCATTGGCTTTAGAGTCTATAACACATTCAACTTCAAGCCCAGAGTTAACTAGACATGGAACAAAACAGTGTGCTGTAAATACTCCGTCATCAAAATGTGACATATTACACATGATAGAGCAAGCTGCTCAATCTGGCTCACCTAAAGAAATGCTTGAATGTTTTAATCAACTGATACAAACAGAGAACAAAGTTAACCAAGAAAGTTTGGACAAAGGTCTTCTTTTGTCTTGTAGGTATGGTAGAGAGTTTTTGGTAAAGATTCTGATATTTCATGGTGCTAATATAGAGACGAGAGACAAAGATGGCAACACACCACTTTTGGTATGTGCCAAGAAAGGTTTCACTGACATAGCTCTGTTACTGGTTGATAAAGGCGCTGATATCAACAGTTACAACAAAGACGGTGATACGGCACTTTTACTTTCTATTCAAACATCCGGGTCTTCTCATCTGATTAGAAGACTTCTTGACAAACAAGAGTTAACAATGGACCATAAAAATAAAAATGGGTGTGATGCTTTGATGAAAGCCATTGAAGTTTTAAACTTTCCATTGATGAACATTTTGTTAAAAAAACAAACAGATATAAATGCTTGTAGCAATGTGTCAAACAGTGCCAGTAAACTAGTTGAACATTTAGGCTTTGAATTCTTGTTGCATTATTTGGTCCAAGAAACACATGATCCAAAAACAGCTTTAGAAAAAGCAGTTTTAATGAAAGACAAATACATCATTAAACTTTTGTTAGCTTGTGGACTTGTAGTCTTCGATGATAGCAACAGAGAAGATAAGGATAATAATATAGTTTTTCTATTTTTAAAATCAATACTTGAGAGTAAACAGGAAATAACAGAAGATGATTTGTATATAATTCAGATTCTTATAAAGGCTGGAGCTCCTATAAATTCTGTTTGTGGTAATTATAGCTTTGATTGTATTTTAACATTAAGCATAAGGATAGGTTGCTATAATTTGGTAGAAATGCTTTGTCGTCATGGTGCAGATGTAAACAAACAAAGTTACTTTGGCAATAACAGTCCCTTGGTTGTAGCTGCTGAGGTTGGTAGATGTGACATTATAGACTTGCTACTTGACTATGGTGCAAAGATCAACCAAGACTCGTGTCAAGCACTTCCGTCTGCGATTGTGCTAGAGCAAATAGATTGTGCAAAACTTCTTATAAAACATGGTGCTAAAATAGACGCTTCTGAAGCACTGACTTCTACTGTCATGGGAAATAAACTTGAATCATTTCAGCTTCTAATTAAAGAATTTAAGTCGGATGTTCATTCTCAGATAAGGCAAATAGGAACAAAATTATTAAACATTGCAGCAGAAAATGGTTATAAGGATATGATTAAACTACTAGTGGAAGAAGGTGCCAATGTTAATGGAAATTATTTTAATCAAACTCCTTTAATGTCAGCTACAGACCCCAGTATTACAGACTTCTTGATCCAACTAGGTGCCGATATGAATATCACTTTTGAATCATGCAGAAGACAAAGAAGGCAACAAACTATTAATAAAAGTTTCAGAAAAGTCGGATGTGGAAAATGTTGTACATGCTCTTCTAATAGCAGGGGCTTATGTCAATAAACAAAATATGTACTGTGAAAGTGCTTTACATGTTGCAATGAGAGCTGAATCTATTGAAATTGTGAAAGTCCTTTTGGAGTTTAAGGCGGATATCAATTTAAAAAATAGCACAGGACAGACACCTTTATTTTGTGTATTGCCAGGAAAATATATGCAACTGATAAAGTTTATATTAGAATATAAAGTGCATGTGAATGATGTAGATAACAAAGGTAATACTCCTTTGCTTCATGTATGTTCTTCAAGTTTTAACGACTCGGTTGAAGTTGTGAGACTTCTAATAAAAGCAGGGGCTAGTATCAACCATCAAAACAATGAAGGCTACACACCTCTGATGTTAGCTGCGAAAGAGCAACACATTGAAACAATTAAATTGCTATGTGAATCAGGTGCTGAAGTCAATTTAGTTAATGAAAAGAAACATGAAACTGCTCTATCTGCACTTATTAACAGGAGTATTACTCAATTGTTTGATACTGACTAAAGTGTTCTCTGCCATATAGAAAAAGGAGCTGATATTTCTTTTTTAAGACCTGATGTACTAGATCAGTTTTTGGATGAGTATCTTTCCTAACCCAGGTTGTGTCGTGTGCTGTAGGTGCTGATGCTAGGAGAAAAGAACGGGTGGGAAAACTCCAAATTCCAAAAATATTACAGGACAAGCTTCTGTTTAAACATGCCATGCTGGAGCGGATAGCAATGATGCACTGTGAGCGCTTAGATAGACAGTCTGGTTTGATTTGATGTGCATAGTATTTTTTTTTTAGATATTAAAAATATTTTCCATTAAAGAATAAAGGAAAGATACTTTTGATTGAAAGTGACAGGTAATATAGGCTACACCAATGAATGGTTTATGCTTTTACCCATTTTATTTGTTTTGTTATGAACTGTTACTTGTTAGAACCATGTGATTTGATAACTTTACTTTCTCAGGAATTGTTTGGAAAGGTAATGTAAATGTTTTGAATTTCTTGACAAGTATCTATCAACAGAAATTCAGCTTTATTGTTGTGTTGTCTGCTGTAGGTGCTTATGCTGGCAGAAAAGAAAGGGTAAAAAAACTCAAAAAATCAAAAATATATGTTGTTTAAGCATGCTCAAGATGTTGATACTGATTTTAGAGAAATTCTTGTTGAACAAACATCCAGATTTTTATTCCAATATCAAATTTCATTTGCATTTTATTTTAAAGTTGTCACTGCTATTTGATATAAATATTTTTATACTGCATTTGCTTAGTTGTATCAAGCTAGTCATATGTAACTCATTACATCTTTACATTACAGGAAATGACATGTAACATTTTATAAAATTTTAATGTTAGGCTACCTAAATGTATTAAAATAATGTTAATAAAACCTTGATGTAAATAAGTAACATGTAACATTTAAGAATTTTATGTTAGGGGTCATCCATAAATGACGTTACACTTGTAGGGGGGGAGGGGGGGGGGGCGGTCCGTAATTTTGTGACGATGTGTGATGAGTTGGAGGGTGGGGGGGTTCAGATGGTGGGACGTCACATTTTCGCATTATAAAAAAGCAATGTTAGAAAACGAATTTTAGACGTTATTTCGCATAGACAACTGTTTTAATAAATTGTAATAGTTTAGACAAGATTTTGGAAAAATATCGATGTTTTAAAAAAATTCAACTGCAATTTTGAGGGGGGTTGTAGGTTGAGGTGTGACGTCATTTTAGGGGGGGGTGGCTTTTTATGATAAAAATCATCCAAAAAAGCGTGACGTCATTTATGGATGACCCCTTACCCAAATTTATTAAAATAATGGTAATAAAACCATGATGTAAATACATAGTAATTTATCATGATGGAACAAACTTGTACCAGATTATGCTGCTTAGAAGTTTTAACCATGCACAGAGATGAAAACTCTGAATTTTAAAATCTTTTCCATGTCTTGATATATTTTGTGGCTTATGAGGTGTAATATGTATTACAGTTTTAAAGTTGTTTTCTTTTTAAGTTAAGAATTTATGTTTTTTTCTCACTTTAATTAAAAGTGTGAAAGTGAAAGCTGAGTTCTGAAAATTATTACAGGATGATTGATGCTTTTGTGTAGGCGTATGGCTTGAAGGTTGTGTAGTCCTATTGCTGGAAGGTTGTGTAGGCTTATGCCTGAAAGGTTGGGTACTCCTATGGCTGAAAGGTTGTGTATGCCTATGGCTGAAAGGTTGTGTAGGCCTATGGCTGAAAGGTTGTGTAGGCCTATGGCTGAAAGGTTGTGTATGCCTATGGCTGAAAGGTTGTGTAGGCCTATGGCTGAAAGGTTGTATAGGCCTATGGCTGAAAGGTTGTGTATGCCTATGGCTGAAAGGTTGTGTAGGCCTATGGCTGAAAGGTTGTGTAGGCCTATGGCTGAAAGGTTGTGTAGGCCTATGGCTGAAAGGTTGTGTAGGCCTATGGCTTGAAGGTTGTGTAGGCCTATGGCTGAAAGGTTGTGTAGGCCTATGGCTGAAAGGTTGTGTAGGCCTATGGCTGAAAGGTTGTGTAGGCCTATGGCTTGAAGGTTATGTAGGCCTATGGCTGAAAGGTTGTGTAGGCCTATGGCTTGAAGGTTGTGTAGGCCTATGGCTGAAAGGTTATTTGGCCTATGTCTAAAAGGTTCTGATAGGCCTATATCTAGAAGGTTGGGTAGGCTTATAGCTGAAAGGCTGTATAGGCCTATAGTCTATAGGTGGAAGGTTGTGTAGACCTATGTCTCATACAAGTAACTATATTCTATTGCTTAAAGGAGAAAGGTCACCAAAATATTAATTTTGGTAAATATGTGTATGTATATGGCCTAAAACACTGTCATGTGGGTAATAGTTTAATAACAAGCACATTGTGATACAAATATCAATTTTATAACAGGTTTTAAAATGTTAAGTGATTCAAAAGGCAAGTGTTCTGTTATTTTATTACAGTTTTCAAGGTGTGAATGTAAATTGTAATTTACACTGTTACACAAATGGTCAGTAGACTAGTAGTATAAGAAGTGAAGTCACATAGGGTCAATCGACAAATACAATAATTAAAAAAAAGTTGACTTATTGATCTGTAGGCCTACACATCCCTTAGGGAGCAAATCAACCCCTTCCTGCCCCCCCCATCCTTAGAGAAACATGTCTGAAAGAAACTCTATAAAACAGGCCTTCACATGACCATTGGAGAAAACACAAACTTACTAATTGCAATCTTTTGCGTGCATTTGAAATGGACTATTAGATGTATGTAAAAACTTTGCCGTTTATTATATGTGCGTAATCATCTTATCTGGTGGACTCTAGATTTATATGCCCTTCTCATATAGGTTATTAACCGTTTTGTAACGAATGTATTACACAGGCTTTGCTCTACTTTTGTCTTTCCAGAACTTTTCCAATTACTTAGTTCATTGTTTGAACTATTCAACATGATGCTCAGATATTTTTATCATAGTGAACATTTTCTTGAATAATGCCTATATTGTACTGGTCCATAATGTGAACTGGGTTATCCTAATCACTATTATACACTATGGCAGGGGTCGGCAACCTGCGGCCGCGAGCCGCATGCAGCTCTTTTGATATCAAGATGCGGCTCTCCTGCTCCTTGAACAAATACTAATAATCTAATAAAAAATAAAATATTTAAAAAAAAAAATGTTAGTGGCTCTTTAAAACCAGTGATCTCCCCTAAACTTTCTCGAATATTCTTATATAAAACAGGGGATGGGAACTCGGGACATTGTTATGATTTTTAATCCATTTTAAATACTTATACTTTTTAAAATAGAATAGAATCTCATAGAAAAAGAATTGCGCACCAAGCGGACGCCAAATAAAGATGTTCATAATCTATCTTCTTCTTCTATCTAGCTATCTATCTATCTCTCTCTCTCTCTCTCTCTCTCTCTCTCTCTCTCTCTCTCTCTCTCTCTCTATATATATATATATATATATATATATATATATATATATATATATATATATATATATATATATAAATCAATGTATGTGTGTGTGTCCTTTATGCATTACTACACCTCTCATCACATCGCCGTGAAACTTTGGGAAGTTGTTGAGAATATTCCTGGGGAGGTTTCTGCGTAAAAAAATATTTCAAATTCGCAGGGGTGGCGCCCCGACAGGGCGCGATTTGTTTTTTTCAATATACGGTATATAAAAATAAAAGTCGACTTTGGTTTGGCATCGTTCATCCGATAGCCATGAGACTTTGGGGAGTTCATTATACCACTCTAGGGAAGGGTTCTGTAAAAAAATAATTTTTAATTTCGCAAGGGCGGCTGCCACGGGAGGGTCCGATTTTTCTCTATATACGGTATATAAAAATAATAAAAGTGAATTGCAGTGACACCGTTCATCCGATAGGCATGAAACTTTTGGGAGTTCATTATAAAACTCTAGGGAAGGGTTCTGTAAAAATTTATTTTTAATTTCGCAAGGGCGGCGCCACGAGAGGGTGCGATTTTTCTCTATATACGGTATACAAAAATAAAAGTAGATTTTGGTGTGACACCGTTATCCGATAGCCATGAGACTTTGGGGGAGTTGATTTGGACACGCCAGGGAAGGTTTCTGTAAAAAAAAAATCTTTTTTTTATTTCGCAAGGGCGGCGCCACGGAATGATGGAATTTTTCTCAATATACGGTATATAAAAATAAAAGTCGATTTTGGTTTGACACCATTTATCTGATCGCCATCAAACTGTGGGGAGTTGATTAGAACATTCTGGGAAGGGTTCTGTAAAAAAAAAATCCTTTGTTAATTTCTCAAGGGCGGCGCCACGGGAGGATGCGATTTTTCTCTATATACGGTTTATAAAAATAAAAGTCTATTTCGGTTTCACACCGTTCATCCATGTACCATGAAACTAGATTACTCATATGATTAGATCACTCAATGGTAGGGTTCTGCAAAAAAAAAAAAATATTTTTTAATATTGCAAGGGCGGCGCCCCGGGGGGGGGGGGGGCTATTTTTTTCTCTATACACGGTATATGAAAAATAAAACTCGGATGCGGTTCATCCGAGTGCCATGAAACTTTAGGGAGTAAATGAGAATACTCCCGAGAATATTTCTGCGAAAAAGAAAACTAAAGTTTCTTATGGGCGGCACCATATAGGGTACAACTTTCGTCAATACACGGTTTGGCGCCCAGAGTTTTAGAGTGACTATGTTGGCACTTGGCATCCGTTAATCGAGCGTCCTGCATAGCGAGTAAGGAGTACTACTATATTCAGCGGTAAAACTACAACAGGCTTCTAAAAATAACTTTGTAACGCGAGGAAATCCTTCTGTACAGTTTCGTCACCTTGCGAAAGATGAAAAAATAACTTTTTGAATATAAGGAGCCTACTGTAGCGTTTCGTCACTTTGCGAATTATGCAATAAGCATCTATTATTAGACAATCCAGTTAGAAATTGAGATCGAGCATCTAATAATAGACCATTAGTAACGCTAGCATATTGCATCAGTCACACTGATGTTTAAACACGTCAAATAATTTTTTTACGTGTTAAAGAAAAAAATCCTGTTCATTTGTGTCACTTAAACGAATGACGAAATCTGCATCATTATTAACAGGACACTATTTGGCACGATGGCGCCTCTTAGTTTTAAGGAGCCAGGGGTCGTACGCCGCGCCTTTGCGGTAGTGTAATCGCGGGGTGGGGGCCCTGAGAGCGCCCCTCTACGTCTCTGACACATGGGCGGTCACCGAAGTGTGTTCTACCATATTATTTCGGTGAGTGATTATTGTACACTCAATGCTTTCATGCGGTAGTGTAGGTAAACCCGTGTCCCGATATTTATGATCCAAGCGCAGGCATTGTTTACATTTAAATAACTCACTTTTAGAAAAGACGGTCACGCGTCTAAGAACATATGATTGGTAACGCGTTGGTGAAATCCTTCTAATATATGTCGTCAAACTTTCTTCTATCCCCGCGGCAACGCGCGGGTGACGGGTACGCTAGTACTTAATAATAGTGCGCAATATTATTAGTACTATATACACTAAAATATGTCACTGCCAATAAGTAGCAACGAGTAGCACAATAAGAACTACTTAAATAAATACTTAACACCTAACTAGTGCGCAACATGCGGCACTAGCAGGAATAATACAGAAAAGTAATCAAACGAAGATACTCCACCCCTAGTCTGCAACATGCAGCACTTGTACTAGTAGTACAGTAATATAAAACATAACATTACCTTCATTAGGTCTACATGTCATGATCTAGATCTACCTCTAGGTACCGTCACCCTCCGTGTCCACAGACAGCAGCATAAACATGCAAACTATAGGGAAAGGAAATGCTACACCAAGCTGTATTAACAACTGACTAGATCTATAGATAAACATCATTTTTACCGAGGGTGGGGGGAGATGACACGAACTACATAATTTACAGAGGGGAAAAAAACGGGGGGTGGAGGGTGACGTTAATTCAAAATAAAAATGTTTGAAGAAGGTAGATCTAAATAATTAAAACAAAAAATGCTCTGAAAATAAGAAATTTTTTTTTTAATTAAAGCTTTCAGCAACAAAAGCTTTACTAAAGAAATAAAATAAGTTTTATTTTCTTATTTTCAGAGCATTTTTTATTTATTTAACATCTTCAAACATTTTTATTTTGAATTTTGTAAATATAAGTTAAAAGTTAGGCATACTAGAATCAAGTTATCGCGAAAACGTTGAACCTATCATCGATTTTTGGTAATCTATTGTTTTGGGTACGTAAAATCGCCCGCGGCTTCTAATGTACGAAAAAGTTACCTCATTGTCAAGGCTTTAATAGATGTATATTTTGATATATGTTAGTCAAATATTATAGATAAATGAATAATAAACCTAAATCAATAGTTAAATATATCAATATAGGCAGGAAATTAACTTTAAACAGCAGTGTTTACGAGCAGGATTTCCTATATAAACAGCAGCCATTTGTAAAATAGCGTTGCCTTCCCCTGAATCTTGCGCTATAAGTTAATAAAGAAAGAACTTAAGATGGCTGCTATAGTAAATGAGCATGGTTGCATCTGTTGGAAACATCGCTAGTCTTCATTTATTATTAAAAAGTTTTAATTCAATTGTTTGAAAACAGGTACATAAATGAAACAAGGAAACATTTTTGTATTTTTCAAAACATAAATCCTCCTCAAAACGTGAAATAATTATTAAAATTTAAGGAGTCACCTGTCTTTCACATTACTAGTCGCGGGCGATTTTACGTACCCAAAACGATAGATTACCCTACTTACTACTTACGTTTTCCTCCAAGCGAAAGTAAAGTAGATAGATCAAGATCTAGATCTATCTCTAGATATCTAGACTAGATCTAGATTCTAATCTAGGTCTAGAGATAGTAAAGTATAAAGTATAGGCCCTAATACGCCTAATAGACTATAGTAGAAGATAGGCCTAAATATTAAATAAGTAGTAAAGTCTAGATCTAGTAGCTAGGTCTAGAGACTAGATTCTAGATCTAGAATCTAGATAATAATGAGTTCATACCAAGAAAGAAAATTTAAGATGGACTGTAGATATAATAGTAAATTAGTAATAGATCTAATATAGTCTAGATCTAGTATTTTGTATACTTTTATTACTTGGTAGTAAAGTAGAAACAGTTTGTAGAAGGTTGTGTTTTTTCCTTTCATTTTTTGAAACCTAAATATACTAAATGCTAAATGTTATCTAGAAGATCTAGATTAAATTCAATGTATTAATTATTTAAACAAGTGGTTACTCATACACTTTTTTTTTGTATTGAACAATATTTCTCAGGTCAAGCTGCTGTTAACATGTCTTGGACCAAGCCAGCCTGGAATAAAGTTAGGAATAGCAAAGGCCCTTTGAAAGGAAATCATTTAAATCCAACCTCATGTCAGAGCTCTGACACATCATTGGTTTTAGAGTCTACAACACATTCAACTTCAAGCCCAGAGTTAACTAGACATGGAACAAAACACTGTGCTGTAAATACTCAAGCTTCACAAAGTGACATATTACACATGATAGATCAAGCTGCTCAATCTGGCTCACCTAAAGAAATGCTTGAATGTTTTAATCAACTGATACACACAGAGAACAAAGTTAACCAAGAAAGTTTGGACCAAGGTCTGCTTTTGTCTTGTAGGTATGGTAGAGAGTTTTTGGTTCATATTCTGATATTTCATGGTGCTAATATTGAGACAAGAGACAAAGATGGCAACAAACCACTTTTGATATGTGCTGAGAAAGGTTTCACTGACATAGCTCTGTTACTGGTTGATAAAGGCGCTGATATCAACAGTTACAACAAAGACGGTGACACAGCGCTTTTACTTTCTATTCAACCATCCGGGTCTTCTCATCTGATTAGAAGACTTCTTGACAAACCAGAGTTAACAATGGACCATAAAAATAAAAATGGGTGTGATGCTTTGATGAAAGCCATTGAAGTTTTAAACTTTCCATTGATGGACATTTTGTTAAAAAAACAAACAGATATAAATGCTTGTAGCAATGTGTCAAACAGTGCCAGTAAACTAGTTGAACATTTAGGCTTTGAATCCTTAATGCATTATTTGGTCCAAGAAACACATGATCCAAAAACAGCTTTAGAAAAAGCAGTTTTAATGAAAGACAAATACATCATTAAACTTTTGTTAGCTTGTGGACTTGTAGTCTTCGATGATAGCAACGGAGAAGATAAGGATAATTATATAGTTTTTCTATTTATAAAATCAATACTTGAGAGTAAACAGGAAATAACAGAAGATGATTTGTATATAATTCAGATTCTTATAAAGGCTGGAGCTCCTATAAATTCTGTTTGTGGTAATTATAGCTTTGATTGTATTTTAACATTAAGCATAAGGATAGGTTGCTATAATTTGGTAGAAATGCTTTGTCGTCATGGTGCAGATGTAAACAAACAGAGTTACTATAGCAATAAAAGTCCCTTGATCGTAGCTGCTGAGGTTGGTAGATGTGACATTATAGACTTGCTACTTGACTATGGTGCAAAGATCAGCCAAGACTCATGTCAAGCACTTCCGTCTGCGATTGTGCTAGAGCAAATAGATAGTGCAAAACTTCTTATAAAACATGGTGCTAAAATAGACGCTTCCGAAGCACTGACTTCTACTGTCATGGGAAATAAACTTGAATCATTTCAGCTTCTAATTAAAGAATTTAAGTCAGATGTTCATTCTCAGATAAGGCAAATAGGAACAAAATTATTAAACATTGCAGCAAAAAATGGTTATAAGGATATGATCAAACTACTAGTGGAAGAAGGTGCCAATGTAAATGGAAATTATTCTAATCAAACTCCTTTAATGTCAGCTACAGACCCCAGTATTATGGACTTCTTGATCCAACTAGGCGCCGATGTGAATATCACTATTGAAACAAGGTGGAATTCATATTCAGCTCTTACTTTTATACTGACCCATTGTGAAAGGGGGCAAGCAAATTGGGTGAACATCCTCATTAAAAACGGAGCAGATGTAAATGTTGAAGACAAAGAAGGCAATACTCTATTAATAAAAGCTTCAGAAAAGTCAGGTATGAAAAATGTTGTACATGCTCTTCTAAAAGCAGGGGCAGATGTCAATAAACAAAATGAGTACTGTGAAAGTGCTTTACATGTTGCAATCAGAGCTGGATCTATTGAAATTGTGAAAGTCCTTTTGGAATTTAAGGCGGATATCAATTTAAAAGATAGCACAGGACAGACACCTTTGTTTTGTGTATTGTCAGAAAAATATATGCAACTGATAGAGTTAATGTTAAAAAATAAAGCGAATGTAAACGATGTAGATAACAAAGGTAATACTCCTTTGCTTCATGTATGTTCTTCAAGTTTTAACGACTCGGTTGAAGTTGTGAGACTTCTAATAAAAGCAGGGGCAAGTGTCAACCATCAAAACAAAGAAGGCTACACACCTCTGATGTTAGCTGCCAATGGTACACAGATCAAAAGAATTAAATTGCTATGTGAATCAGGTGCTGAAGTCAATTTAGTTAATGAAAAGAAAAAAGAAACTGCTCTATCTGCACTTATTTACTGTGGTGTAATTCAATCAATTGATACAGAAAGTGTTATCTGCCTTATAGAAAACGGAGCTGATAGTTCTTTTTTAAGCCCTGATGTTATTTATCAATTAATTTTAATTGATGAGCATGATTGCCTAAAACACATTATATCCCTGGGTTATGGACCAAAAGAGGTTAACCAAACCTACTATGATATTGATAATTTACCCAAGGGTTCTCCGTTTGTTGTTTCTCTATGTTGTGGTTCCAGCAGTGTTGCTAGGTTTTTAAATGATATTTGGTTTTTAACCCAGTCGGACATTACAAGGCTTGCCCACAATAAACAATTAAGGGAATCACTTGAGTCTTACCAATTCAGGGAATGTTTGAAGTTTTTGGATGAGTATCTATCCCAACCCATGCCTCTACAAAAACTCAGTTTTGTTGTTGTGTCGTCTGCTGTAGGTGATGATGGTGGGACTACTGGGAGAAAAGAACGGGTGAGAAAACTCCCAATTCCAAAAATATTACAGGACAAGCTTCTGTTTAAACATGCAGTGCAGGTTGAATTGGCAGCTGACCCAGAGCCTCAGGAGATGCCCATGATGTGGCGGGTATCCGAATTAAATAGACAATCTCGTTTGATTTGATGTGCTACACCAAGGAATGGTTAATGCTCTTACCTATTTTATTTGTTTTGTTATGAACTTTGATAGACAGTCTGGTTTGATGTGCATAGTATTTTTTAAAAATATTAATAATATTTTCCATTAAAGAATAAAGGAAAAATACTTTTGATTGAAAGTGACATGTAATATAGGCTACACCAAGGAATGGTTAATGCTCTTACCTATTTTATTTGTTTTGTTATGAACTTAGATAGACAGTCTCATTTGATTTGATGTGCATAGTATTTTTTTTTTAAATATTAAAGATATTTTCCATTAAAGCATAAAGGAAAGATACTTTTGATTGAAAGTGACATGTAATATAGGCTACACCAAGGGATGGTTAATGGTCTTACCTATTTTATTTGTTTTGTTATGAACTTAGATAGACAGTCTGGTTTGATTTGATGTGCATAGTATTTTTTTTTTAAATATTAATAATATTTTCCATTAAAGAATAAAGGAAAAATACTTTTCATTGAAAGTGACAGATAATAGGCTACATCAAGGAATGGTTTATGCTCTTACCTATTTTATTTGTTTTGTTATGAACTGTTAGAACCATGTGATTTGATAACATGAGCGTATAAAATTTTTTCTCAGGAATTGTTTGGAAAATAATGGGTAACGTAAATGTTTTGAATTTCTTGACAAGTAAATGTTTTGAATTTCTTGACAAGTATCTATCTACAGAAATTCAGCTGTATTGTTGTGTTGTCTGCTCTAGGTGCTGATGCTGGCAGAAAAGAACAGATAAAAAAAACTACCGAATAAACAATTTATGTTTTTTAAGCATGCTCAAGATGTGGATATTTATTTTTGAGAAATTCTTGTTGAACAAACATTTAGACTTTGTTCCAATATCAAATTTCATTTGCATTTTATTTAAAAGTTGTCACTTCTATTTGATATAAATATTTTTATACTGCATTTGTTTAGTTGTATCAAGCTAGTCATATGTAACATATTACTTGTTTACAATACAGGAAATGACATGTAACATTTTATAATGTGTAATTTTAGGCTACCTAAATGTATTCAAATAATGTTAATAAAACCTTGATGTAAATAAGTAACAGTAACATTTAAGAATTTTATGTTACCCAAATTTATTAAAATAATGTTAATAAAACCTTGATGTAAATAAGTAACATGTAACAATTTTATGTTACCCAAATTTATTAAAATAATGTTAATAAAACCTTGATATAAATAAGTAGTAAATTATCATGATGTAACAAACTTGTACCAGATTATGCTGTTCAGAAGTTTGAACCCATGCACAGAGATGGAAACTCTGAATTTGAAAATCTTTTCCATGCCTTGATAGATTTAATGGATTATGAGGTGTAATATGTTTACAGTTTAAGAGTTGTTTTCTGTTTAAGTTAAGAATTTATATTTTTTTCTCACTTTAATTAAAAGTGTGAAAGTCAAAGCTGAGTTTTTAAAATTATTGCAGGATGATTGATGTTTTTGTGTAGCATTTTGTGTAGGCTTATGGCTTGAAGGTTGTGTACACCTATGGCTTGAAGGTTGTGTAGGCCTATTGCTGGAAGGTTGTGTAGGCTTATGGCTTGAAGGTTGTGTACACCTATGGCTTGAAGGTTGTGTACACCTATGGCTTGAAGGTTGTGTAGGCCTATTGCTGGAAGGTTGTGTAGGCTTATGGCTGGAAGGTTGTGTAGGCCTATGGCTGAAAGGTTGTGTAGGCTTATGACTTGAAGGTTATGTAGGCCTATTGCATGAAGTTTGTGTAGGCTTATGGCTTGAAGGTTGTGTAGACCTATTGCATGAAGTTTGTGTAGGCCTATGGCTGGAAGGTTGTGTAGGTTTATGGCTAAAAGGCTGTGTAGGTTTATGGCTGAAAAGTTGTGTAGGCCTATTGCTGGAAGGTTGTATTTAGGCCTATGTCTAAAAGGTTGTTATAGGCCTGTATCTAGAAGGTTGGGTCGGCTTATGGCTGAAAGGTTGGGTCGGCTTATGGCTGAAAGGTTGTGTAAACCTATGTCTCAAACAATTAGCTATATTCTATAGCTTACTTAAAGGAGAAAGGTCATCAAAATATTTATTTTGGTAAATATTTGTATTCATATGGCTTAAAACACTGTCGTGGGAGTAATAGTTTAATAACAAGTATAATGAGACAGTTTTCAAGGTGTGAATGTAAATTGTAATTTACATTGTTACACAAATGGTCAGTAGACTAGTAGTATAACAAGTGAAGTCACATAGGGTCAATCGACAAATACAATAATTTAAAAAAAAAGTTTACTTATTGATCTGTAGGCCTACACATCCCTTAGGGAGCAAATCAACCCCTTCCTGCCCCCCCCCCCCCCCCCATCCTTAGAGAAATATGTCTGAAAGAAATTCTATAAAACAGGCCTTCACATGACCATTGGAGAAAAATCAAACTTACAAATTGACATCTTTTGTGTGTATTTGGAATGAACTGTTAGATTTAGATAAAATATGTGCAGTTTATTATATGTGCTTAATCATCCTAACTGGTACACTCTAGATTTATATGCCCTTCTCAGATAAGTTATGAACTGTTTTGTAAATAATGTATTACACCGGCTTTACTCTACTTTTGTCTTTCCAGAACTTTTCCAATTACTTAGTTCATTGTTTGAACTATTCAACATGATGCTCAGTTATTTTTTTATCATAGTGAACATTTTCTTGAATAATGCCTATATTGTACTGGTCCATATTGTAACCAGCGTTATCCTATTATACTATTTCTCGCAGGGGACGTAGCTCTTTATATACTCGAAGCACATAATTTTACGATTTTTTTAACAGTTACGTCCCTTTTTTGGGTAGATAATTTCAAAAAGTCATTGAGAAAAATATTGATGTCGTAGTTAAAAATTAAAAAAAAAGCAACATTATTTAATCTTTTTAATAGAATATATTACATGAAAGCACACACTATGTGCATAATTATTGAACAGACAACAGTGGCTGTTATTCCTATACATGAAATTATATATATATATATATATATATATATATATATATATATACATATATATACACAATCATGTATGTATAGCCTCTGTATATACAAATATACACATCCAATATCAACATCTGCCCACGCCATTCTCTGTCCGTAAAAAAATAACCTACATTCATCTTTCCGATGTAAGAAGGATCCGCGGTATGAAAACGATTTTCCAACCTTGTGACAGGCGGATATCCGGAGTGTTGAGTCAAGAGTGGAAACTTGGATTGAGATTTTTGACCAGTCGTTTCGCCAGTTGTGACTAGTGGCTGCCACGTGACACTCGTATGTCACATGTCTTGAAGTGTTGGCTGTGGCGAATAGAGGTAGCCTCTAGTGTTAAAATGTCTGTGTAAAAAAGGTAGCCACAGTATTTTTATCAACTTTTAACATTTTGATATTATATTTTTCTAGTTTAATACTTGCAATATCTGGGCCTTTTTTTGCAACAATATTTAAAGTTGAATGTTTGATAATTGCAATAGCTAGGCCCTTTAATGTAAAATCCAATACTGAATTGAATGCTATCGAGTGTACGTCAAACTCAATCGAACTTATTTACTGACTGACTACAACCCCTAAATAGCAATGGCTTTAGAGATTGAAGACACCGTGAGGTATCTCAACATTTAGAGATTGACAGAGGGGTCGTCCATAAATGACGTCATACTCATAAGGAGGAGGGTGTCCGCAATTTTGTGACTGTGTGTGATTAGGGGGATGGGGTGTTTAGATAGCATGACGTCATGCTTTTGCATTGTAAAAATTAATGTTAGATTACGAAGTTTTTAGGAAAAAACGTATTTTGTCTCTTTTAATAAATATAAAATGACTAAAATGCACTGTGTTAGCGGAGCTCAGTAAAGATTTTAGAAAAAAAAATTTCATGTTTTAAGAAACATTCAACTGCACATTTATGTTTTGGGATGGGGAGTTGGTTGCTTGTAGACTGAGGAATGACATCATTAAGGGCAAAGGGTCTGGCTTTTTTTGTAACGATGTGTGTGGGAGGAAAAATCGTCAAAAAAAGCGTGACTTCACTTATGGATGACCCCTTAGCACCAACAGAATGTGTAACTTTGCAAATAACTTTTTTGTGTGTTGATGTTAAAAATGTGTTTCGTGGCAACATAATGCTAAACGCCCTTCCTTATTAAACAATCTTATGTCACGCAGGCCCAAAACCAATGCTAATATATTGCTAAGCATCTAAAACTAAACCTGTTTATAAAAAAAGCATGTTGGTTACCACTGGACTCTGAGGCTAACTGTTGATAGGTTCACACATTAAGATATTCGAGCTACCCTAGTATGGTAACGGGTAGAATGGTGTTGGGCATTGCAGTGTGGAGTGTACCACTTCAAATGTGGTAGTCCTTACCTAGGCGAATTGTGTACACAATGTGATAAGAGGTTGGGGTGACGAAGGAGATGGCACTGTGAAGTGTATCACTATCTGTCAAATGCTGGTATCTACCTTGGCGAACGGTGTACACAATGAGAGATTCCAGTTATTACAATGTGATAAGGGGTGGTGGGTGACGAAGGGGATGGCACTGTGGAGTGTAGCACTATCTGTCAAAGGGTAATAATCTCGACTTTAACGAACTGAGTGTAACAATTTCACACGGTACGATATTGTGATGAGGGATTAAGGTTTAAGGGGGGGGGGAGGTGACGTCCGCTATGGCGTTATATAGTGTGCTACTATCTGTCAGAGGGTAGTTTTAGTAATCTCAACTTTGACATACCGTAAACAAATTCATACAATAAAATAATGGGATACGGGGGGAGGGGGGACGTCCTGATTGGCGAAATAGAGTGTGGCCCTAGCTGTATAGATGATGTAGTGTCCACCATGTGCCCCATTGTCTAGTTGTGTTCACTGTTAAATTGTTCTCAAGAAAGAAGTCTCAGCTATACTAAAAAGTCAACGACACATTGAAATAAAACCCAACACATAAATATAAGGCAACAATCATTTATTTTTTTTTGCACTTTGTAACAGAATATTTTAGTTTGATTTAAAATAGTTTGAACTTGAACTCATAAACAAAACTTTGATCAACAGATAATTGAAAATATCAATTGGAAGGCTTCGTTGTTTATTCTGGAGCATTAGTGAAACTTTGATTAATTAAATAAATTAAACTTTAATCAACGTACAATTCTTTATGTGAAACATTTTATCAGTTATAACATTTTAATAATTTACAAGTTGTCTAAGGTTTTAATATTTACAATTTGATCTTTCTGCTATAGCATACAACACTTCACGATCTTAAACTTTTTTGGGCAATTTACCCCATATCTTATCATAGAGTAAAACACATTTTAATAAACGCTATATGACCCGTTGGTCTACTTTATTTAATTATTGTTATAAACAGTTTACTATCACAATTACCGTGTTGGCTAACTAGCATATTATATATATATGTATATATATATATATATATATATATATATATATATATATATATATATATATATATATATATATACATATATATATATATATATATATATATATATATATATATATATATATATATATATATATATATATATATATATATGGATAGATAGGTAGATACTAGATAATAATCTAAAACTTTAATACCGTAACAAGCATATTGAAATCAGTTTAGCGAATTTAACTAACTTGTGCACCCTAAGGTCAACAATTACCATAAAATCAAGGCTGAAGCTTCATGATATTCTCTAATGTTCTTCAGTAGTTAGATTTGTGTGTCTTCCTCTCAATAAATTCATTCGAACTAACTGTAGACAAAACCCTACGTTTACGCAGAAGTTAAATATGTCTGATCACTAATGTCTAGAGCCTCCCTGAGCACAGAAAAGTCAAAGTTGTCATCCAAGCTGCGAGGTTCCTGTGTTGACGACAGAGGATCCGTCGGAAGATACGGCAAATCATCTTCCAACAACGATGCTATTTTTTCGTCCAGATCGTCAGACGTCTCATGAAGAAATAAGAGTTTGTTTTTAAATACATTTGGAAGATGCAAGTTTTGAATCCGTGTGTCTCTACCTGGTTTGACGCCGATGGTTGAGGATAAGGAAACGAAACTTAATTTCTGTAGAGACAAAGGCTGGGAGGTTAAGTTCTCCAGAATGGCCAGGCACTTGGTGTAGCCAAACTCTCGGAGGTATGTTTGCAGGCCAGTTTCTCGCGATAAACCGGTGACGTCGTATACTGTAAAAAACGAGATGTCAGTGAAGTACAAAGCAATCTCCGGGTTGTCACACATCAAAGCGAACATCAAAGGCGTGAACCCGCCTTTTGATTTTAAACGAATGCTCCGGTAAAATTGTAACTCTTTAGAATCGACCTCCACTGGGGGTAATCCAGCGCGGATTAATTTCTTGACGAGTTTGTTTTTACCGTGATGGATGAAGGTGTGTATGGCTTTACTGTTGACGAAGTTTGCGTTCGCTCCGTTGGTGAGTAGACAATCGACGCAGGAGTCATGGATCTGATCAAGATGTGAGTCGTTATTCAACAAGATGGAAAGCGCTGTGTGGTTTTCTAAAGCGTTGATGGCGTTTACGTCAGCGTTGGCTTGAATGAGGAGCTTAATAGCTCTTATACAGCGGACTTGTGCAGCCAGCATTAGGGGAGTGAACCCGGATTTGTTTACAACATTTACATCTGCACCGGATTTGATAAGTAACTCTAAAATATGGGACATCTTTCTACAATGCTGCAAGGTTTCGTTGTTATTAAGTTCAGTCTGGGCAAGGCGGATAGCTTCAAAAACTAACAACAAAGCCGTGTCTCCCTTCTCGTTTTGGATGTTGACGTTGGCGTGGTTCTCAATGAGAAGTTGGACCATGTCTTTATCACCTGAAGTCACAGCGTCCATTAATGCCGTGTTTCCCATCGTACACCTCAGGCTTGTGTTGATCTTGTACTCCAACAATGCCTGTGCGTTTTTGGTGTGCTTAGCAACGACAGCAAAATGCAATGCAGTTTTCTTGTCCGTGTTTTGCGTATTGACATTCGCCCCGGAGCTTATAATATATCTAATGACATCCGGTTGTTCAGAGGTGAAGGCCGCGATCATCAGAGGAGTTTGTTCGAGGTGGTTGAACACCTCAAAGCTGACGCCGTATTTCACGAACATTTTAATGCAGGTGACACACCTGCAGTCTCGGGTATCACATGACTTAAGCGTGTGTAGCAGAATCTTCACGCCATTCGAGATGGTCAAGTCGTGTCCGTTGAAGATGTACAGCTCTGATAGGCACGTGTGGGGATCGACGAAGATGGATTTGATGAAATCATAATTCTGCAACAACATGGCTTGAATTCTTCTGCTCCTCGCTGATTTCAGCAGCTCCGGGCTTAACTCCAGAATAGCTAATCCGGTTGCCGTTTTGTCGGTCTCGATTAAAAAAGAAACGATATCGTGTTGATCGAAATCCACAGCAGTTTTCAGCGCCTCTTGAATGTTCGGCTTGTCTTGGTGCTTAAATATCATCTCAAAGCATTCCTTAGTACCGTTTCTTATAGCTGTTGTTAGAGCATTATCATGGTTATTTTCTGCATTAACACCCGCGTTGTACTTAAGCAATAGACCCAACAGATCGCAACGACGCATTTCTACAGCTAGCATCAACGGTGTGGTACATTGATCAGAGTGGGGTAAATTGAATTCTCTAGGCTGATATTTACACAACAGTTCTACAAGGTGACTGTTTCCAGTGCTGACCGCTTGAAATAAAAGATTAACATTTTTACAAGTCCCATCAGTCGTTGGTTGTAGCTGTCTTAAAATAGCTTCAGCTAAATATAAATCCTTCCTAGTTATGGCGTAATCGTCTTTCACGAAAGAGTCAATAAACTTGGACAAGACTTCACGCAGTGCTTTATGGGAGACCCCAAGACGAAGAAGATATTCCGTTCTTTCAATATCTCTTTCAAACACCGCGCGTTCAACCTGAATCGTTCTATCAAATTGCAAAGCAATAGCGTCAAGCTTTTCCAGCATTTTCATAGTTCCCTGTTGACTGTGAACACACTCCGCATCAGTTAGACTAACTCTTTCTTCAAGTTCTCGTCCACTGATGTACTCAGCTTTGCTGAGGAGAAGTACCACCGCGTCCATGTCTAGAACCTGTTTCGCTCGTTTTAAAGCCGTGACGCCATTTCTGTTCTCGTGATAAAGGTTGATCTCCGGCCGGCTCAGGAGGAGCTTCAGCAGACTTGATGAACCGGATGTACGGATGGCTAGGATTAGCGCCGTGTCCCCGAGTTTGTTGAAGGCGTTCACGCATGCGCCCGCCACCAGAAGCTTCTCGACGATATCCGTAAATCCTTTAGCGGCGCTGAGTATGAGAGGGGTGTTCCCAATTTTGTCACGTGATTCGACATCCGCGCCATATTCCAGCAGGTGCTCAACGAGGAACTTCCGGCCTTTCCTACAAGCGAGCATCAAAAGTGAGCTGAGAAACTGCGTGTTGTGTTTGAGGTCTTGCATCAGTTCAAGGGAGGCAATGGCGTCCTCATACTCGCCAGACACCACGGCTTGTATTAGTAACGTCTCGCGGTTGTCCTCCATGATGGCCATGTTTAGAAAAAAATATATTTCCTAATCCTCGACAGTCTTCTCACACTACGTCTTGATCGATGCCTCATGACATCTGCTTAAAGAAAAAAAATAGTATGAATCAATTAACTGAAGTGGGTAGCTACAATATATTACATAATTTAAGTCAGTTCTAGCAAACTCTGACACATTCTCTTATTTTCTATTTCTAGGCTGGAATCCCCAGATAATAAAACGCCAATACAACATATATAATAAAATAATAAAAACTGAAATGTATTATAATTTTTAAATGCCAGTTAATATAAACACTGAGCTCCGCTTCTCCCCTCCCGCGCAGAGAGCCCCCCCCCCCCCCTCCCCTCCCACAAAACGAACTTGAATTTATGTAGAAAATATATACTTTTACCAGAGTCCGCCAAGGCCCCGGAAACATATTGTCCGCCCCCCACCCCTCTCCCGTAAGTTTCTAGTGTCTCCCCAGGAAACGTTTTAAAAGAAACGTTGATAGCTAGATAGCTATCACCTATATCCTGTTAGCTAGGGCTCCGTATCCTAAGTTTGTCACCCGGCTCTATGTCTACACGATTGTAAACAAATACGTCTCAACAGTGGAAGGTTTTGTTTTATTTAGCTAGCGCGGCTGACACGTCACGTGGTCCCGACTCTCATCCTGCAGTCACCTGCGCCATCTGCTGAGTAAAGTTTCTACTGGTGCGGCTCCAGTGTCGCGTGGTAATTGTTGGTGGTCATTTAATATACAACTTAATGTTAACTATTCGGCAGGTGTTAGTCATGGAAAGGGGGGGGGGACATCTCTCTCTCTCTTTATATATATATATATATATATATATATATATATATATATATATATATATATATATATATATATATATATATATATATATATAGGCCCATATATATATATATATATAGGCCCATAAATATATATATATATAGGCCCATAGATATATATATATATATATATATATATATATATATATATATATATATATATATATATATATATATATATATATATATCAACTTCTGAAATGGTAGAAATAAAACGAGATGACTGCACAGTCGACAACACCCTACAACTTTAAAGTCAGAAATTTTTCTTTTTGGGGTCCATGGGGCGGCTATAACACCAACCCCCTCACACTAACACCCTAACAATCCACCCCCCCCCCCCGTCAAGGACACGGATAATCAGGAAACCAGTCATGCAGTGCGGCAATGTTTAGTGTACGAACCGGGACGTAGAATCACATTGAACGACGGTTGAGCTGTTTAACGTCAGGTAACCTTTGTTGGAGTGTGTTTAGAAATGCTGCATACCAATCTGATTAATCATACAGATAGCTCCATGGTTTGCCGTCTACAGGTCGAGAGGAAACAAAACAAGGATGTTTACGCGGCGAGATTTTAGATTATTTCGAAATATATGACTTGTATTTTTTTAACAAAGCTGATCTCTGTTAATATTACCTAGCCAATATGATGGTCTTAAAGACGGTGTGGTCGAGTGGTAGCGCTTTCGATTGTAAACCGAAAGTCTTGAACTCGGGTCCTGGGCACGAGTTTGTAGAACGTCCAGAAGTCCACCCATCTCTGATGGGTACCAGACTCACGGTAGGGAAAGAAAAAAACCTTCATATGCCGAGATCACAGAAACAGGTGAACTCTCTCTCTCTCTCTTTCTCTCTCTCTCTCTTTCTCTCTCTCTCTCTCTTTATATATATATATATATATATATATATATATATATATATATATATATATATATATATATATATATATATATATATATATATATATATATATATATATATAATATGTTAAGATATGGCGCCAATCCAGAGTTTCTTCCAGGCATCTCTTCGGGGGGGGGGGGGTGTCAGAGCCCCCCCCAAAGAAAGTCTACCGCCCCCCCCCCGAACAAGATGGGCTTTATATAGCAAACATACACTTTTACTAGTGTCTCTCCCCCCCCCCCCCCCCGCCCAAAAAAAATGTTGACCGACCCCCCGAACATTTCAAGTGCCCCCCCCCCCCCCCCGGAGAAAAAAGTCTGGAAGAAACACTGGAAGAAACACTGCGCCTATCTTTGCTCTTTTCCATCCCCCTACACAGAAAATCTTAATGCGCGTCTGCCCACCCCCTACCACTAACACACATTCATCAGAATAATGGGAATCATGTTAAATATAACATTGTAAAAACAAAAATTTGAGGAAATTTCGATTGTGTTGCACTAAAACGTATCAGTGCACTACAAGCCAAGTCTATAATAACGTTGCAGAATTTTTTAGCCACGAATATAGGCTAACACAAAATTTCAAACTTGAGAACGACTTTAGGAAACTAATTAAAGGTAATCATATATTATGAAGAAATCTAGCTAGCAAATGTAGTTTATCTGTTTAAACTGTCAATCTAACGATTGTGGCATTGTATAGAGTATAGTGTATAGAAACAAAGAATTATCTAAATATAGTCTATCATTTTCCAGATCATTAGACTTAGAGTTAGACTAGAAGACTCTTAGTTAATTAGAGGTTAATAGACACTACCGAGCTGGCGAGAATTCTTCCATCATTATTTTTGACAAGGATTTAAAAAAAAAAAAACGTTTTTTTTATTCGACAATTCAAGCGAACGAAAAAAATCATAAAAAATAAAAACTTAAGCCTGAAAATAATTCATACATTAAATATTTTTACAATCAATGTTTTAGAAGTTGATAATCAAGAGAACTTTAAAATATTTTTGAGTTTAAGGCTACATTTCTATTTGTTTTCTCCAAGCCTAAGTTATAACATGAAGTTTCATTTTCGTAAGGCAAACATGGATAGGCTGTACAGGAACTGCGTGATCGAGATTCTGACTGCCCTAATATCATAAAAAGTGGACATTTTAAAAATCGTGTTTAGTGTTACTAAAACATATGTGATTATAAAAGCTCTACTGTCTCCTTTTTTTTTTCCTCCTCCGGATTGGATTATGTTGTTTTTAATTTAATATTTTCAAGAACTAAACAGAATATTTTAAAGTGACAAATGTAATAGTTTCTCTCGAGGCCACTTGGAAATGGAAAACGAGGCTTAACTCGGCCAAGTTGACTTCCAGTGGTATAAATTAGGCCTATAGAAAATTAGCAAAAAATGAGAGCAAATTACTTAACAAAAAAACGAGATACTTTGCTGAATTTATTGTATTACATTCAACTCTATTTTAACCAGTTCGACTAAATTCTACTATGTTCTACCACATTCTATTACGTTCTAGATCTAGTAAAGTCTATTACATTCTACTTTACTTCTACCTCTTCAACCCTACGTCACTTCGTTGTGTGATGTAGTGTCTGGTGCAGAGGCGCAGCGAGGGGGGGGGGGGGGGACTAAATTCTACTATGTTCTACCACATTCTATTACGTTCTACTAAAGTCTAATACATTCCACTTTACTTTTACCTCTTCCAACCTACGTCACTTCACTTTATTCCTATATACACCGTTTTACTCCATGTGTTGTGTGATGTAGAGTGTGCTGTTTGTGTGGGCAGTGGTATGCATGGCGTTTGATGAGTTCTTATATGTGGAGGGCGGGTGTAGTAAGGTGAGGTGTGTGGGTACAATGTGGTAGACATTGAAATGTGGAAACGTAGGGTGTTTTAAGATGTAGTGTATGGGGTGGGATGTGTTTTGGTGTGGAACGGTGTTAAGCGAGTTACATGGCGGGGTATTTCGGTTATGGGTGTTGGTATGTGGTTTGGCTTGTTACGATGTGTGGTTCGTGGTGTCATGCAAGTTGTGATGAGGTTTGATATTTACCTTTTTGTTATTCGCTTCTCCTGTCTCATTTTTTATGTGAAATTCAAATTTATTTTATAATTGAAAAAAAAAATTAGATGTCTTTGAGTTTTTTTGCCAATGTTTATGTTCTCCTAAAGATACCATTTAAAGTTCACACCGTAGCGAAGCACGGGTATACAGCTCGAATCTTTAAAACCTTCTTTTTCACCCACAGTTGTTGGATCTCCGAGTCGCCCACAAACTTTCAAATGTGTCCCAAAATTGCCAAAATTACCCTACAGTTACCTCTCCTGCTGTATCAGCACTACTACTCGTTGTATAACATGGCACCAGATCCTTTAGTTCTAGAACTTCTCCACCAGAAAAAACTGCGGTGTTTCTAACTACAACGTTTCCCAGCTAATTATCAACGGAGTTGAGGCTCCTAGGAACGCTTGGCCATGGCAGGTGTTTATATGGTCAAAGGGAACTATGTGCGGAGGGTCTATCATTGACCGAGAATGGATCTTGACAGCAGGGCATTGCCTGACTGGTAACGACACATTTGTTTTTTTTGGGTGAGGTAGATTTTGAACATTTTAAAACCCCTTATCGAAATGTATCAGAACAACTTGTGCATGCAAAATACGAACGCCATCCTTTAAAATATGATATTGGTCTTCTAAAGCTTAAAACACCCATCGAGTTCTCCGACACCATCCGACCAATCTGCTTGCCAGAAGGCAACATCTGGGACGCCTCGCCCTGTTTTATCACCGGCTACGGACGAATGACCACAAACGATTCCGTGCCGGAAGAACTGAGTTTCCCAACAAAACTTCAGCAGCTACGCGTGGATATCATGAACCTAACTTTGTGCAAGATAATTACCCGGATGTTTGACCCGCCTTATAACGATTACAATGTGTGTATCGATACCCCCGAGAAGTCTGGCCCTTATAAGGGAGATTCGGGCGGACCGCTGAGCTGCTTCAAAAACGGAAGATTTTACCTTGTGGGTTTGGCCAGTACTGGGCCATCGACCCGGGGAATTTATCAAAGTTTTTATCCTCCTATCTACATGTCTGTTCCTTATTTCATGGATTGGATTGGAAATTTCGTCAACTTCAAGGCTACATAAATAAAATGTTCCCTCGGTCTTATAAGTTGTAGATCAAGTTCATTATTTCCAACATTTTTCGTTATTTTCAATTAGTTTAAATGCAGTGGAATAAATGAACACATTTGGAAAAAGATATATAGAGTAACCAAATCAGTGAGTTCTTTTGACTTAATAAATACAGAAACATTTATACAATTATTTGATGTGTCAATTAATTATATTTATAAATTAATTAATATATAGGTCTGTGTTTGTGCGTGTCTTTTTGTCTTTGTCTGTGTGTCTGTAAACACGACAACTTGAGTACCGTTTCAGTTATGTTAACGAAATTGCATATATAGGTATTATATCAATTTTGTGGTTATGTATCAACGTCTGAACGAATTCTGGTAACCGGAAGTAGTACATACACTTCTTGTTTCTCAAAAGCCAATAACTTGATTACTGCTTCAGTTAAGTAGACGAAATTTCACATATATGTAAAATATTTTATTCTCTGGGTTCTGTCGAATTTCGAGTAATTTCCGGTGAGTGGAAGTAGTATTTTACGCTATTTTTGATGTATCAAAAAAATCATAAGGATTTAATTAACTATTGAGTCTCCGTCATGGGCGGAAACTTACGAGCAAAATTTTGAGCACTTTTACTGATTAATTTAAAACTTTTCTCGTAAGTCAAGACTCGAAGACAAAGTATAGTGACACAAAATGTTACTAAATTAGATGATTAATTATTATTTTTTTTTAAATTAATATTTTTTTTTACTTGCTCGTATACAGAGTATAGAGAAAGTATTGTAATCGTGCAGAAAAATCACATGAAATTTTGACAGTTTTCACCGTTTTACACCTCAGTCCTTCATCACATCCGGAGTATAGAGAACTTATTTTAATCGGACACATCCCCTCACACTATCTCCCCGCCTATCCATTTCCCCGCATACCTCTATCCTAAATGCCCTATTTAACTATCCTAAATGCCCAATTCAACCACACGCCTAAATACTAAATTTAACAATACTCTCTAACTGTCAAATTCAACCACACGCCTAAATGCCCAATTTTACCACCTTATCTAAATGCCCAATTTTACCACCTTATCTAAATGCCCAATTTTACCACCTTATCTAAATGCCCAATTTTACCACCTTATCTAAATGCCCAATTTAACCACCTTATCTAAATGCCCAATTTTACCACCTTATCTAAATGCCCAATTTAACCACCTTATCTAAATGCCCAATTTAACCACCTTATCTAAATGCCCAATTTTACCACCTTATCTAAATGCCCAATTTAACCACCTTATCTAAATGCCCAATTTAACCACCTTATCTAAATGCCCAATTTTACCACCTTATCTAAATGCCCAATTTAACCACCTTATCTAAATGCCCAATTTAACCACCTTATCTAAATGCCCAATTTTACCACCTTATCTAAATGCCCAATTTTACCACCTTATCTAAATGCCCAATTTAACCACCTTATCTAAATGCCCAATTTAACCACCTTATCTAAATGCCCAATTATACCACCTTATCTAAATGCCCAATTTTACCACCTTATCTAAATGCCCAATTTAACCACCTTATCTAAATGCCCAATTTTACCACCTTATCTAAATGCCCCATGCAACTTAACTCTCTGGGCGCTCAACAGTGGCGGAGCTAGAAATAAAGGACCACACCGCAAAAAAATTATTCATATTCATACATAAAATTAAAACAATTTACAACAATATGTCATGTGTGTAAGTGCATAAGTGTGTTTTGAAAATGTTTTTTTTTATCTTTGCTATAAGACCTCTTAACATCTAGTCGGTCAAAAGAATGTAAAACATGAAAGCTTTGTATAATAATGGTGTCTCGTGTTATGTTTAATTTTATGTCTTTTTCGTATTTATATTATCGAATTTAAACACATTTCCTTTTTATGCAATGCCATTCTTTAGTAAGTACTTTATAAAAAAATAACAATTGCTTTTTAATTTGTTTAGTACAAATCTATTTAAAGGAGCTTACGAACACCCCTATTCGACTCTTTAAAAAAGCGAAATAAGTCATGGAAGTGGTTTGAACGTTTGCTTATCTATGAAAGAGGACTCGGCTTTCACAGTGGTTTAAAAACAAATGGAAAAAGAATATACAAGAGCGCGGGGGTGGTGTCTATAGAATAAAGATAATCCAACCGCAGCTGCGGTATTTTTTTTTTTTACAAAACAACCATCAAGTCAAAAATGCAAGAAAATATTTTTTTTTAACTATAAAAAATGTATATATGGTCGGCTTTTGGGCCCCTAAATGGCGTCCCCCCCCCCGCGGGGTCTGGCGGCACTGTAGTTCCGCCCCTAAACTCTACTTGATCTGTCACAAGGGTGGTATGTTTAGAAAATGGCACTTTCCTTAAAAGATGGTCTCGAAGTAGTTGTACGTGTGTATCAATGTTAATATAAACTCGTATTTTCTTGAAAAATTATTTACTTCTGCCATGTGGATGCGCTTATAAATTTTTCCTTAATACCTTTTTAAACGGTTTTAAAATGCACCGTGATGTTTCTCTATTGCCTTTGTTTATTGTTCTCTTTATCGGATTATCATATCATATCATTTATTTTAGGCCCAAAAGCTGAAACTTCAAATAAACATAAAACTCATCCACAAAATAAAAAACCTCACCATAGAATATTTCCAATACAGTTATCCGCTATAGAAAAGGTCAAAACAGTGAAGCAGATGACAGTTTTCGTTTTGCAGTTCAAGAGTGACACGGTAAGAATAGGTACAGCTTATTATCCTGAGGTTGGAAGGCATATGCCTAACCGCGGCGATAACCCAAAAAAGCAAACAGTTGTTGTTTTAACTTTCAGGCGTGGTATAGTAGGGTAAAGTTTATTGAATAGACCCGATTTCTTTTATTTTTAACTGCTGTTGAAGCAGGTGCACCCGTACGCAGGTCGATGTTGATTCAAAATTCCGTGTTGAAAAGTGGACCAAAATATTGAACAATTCAGCACGGGCGCTTGGAAAGGACGGAGATTTTTAACCAATAAAAAATGGAGATTAGAGGCACAATAGAGTGTTTCAAGCAAAGCGCTACACATTTTCAATCGTGTGAATACTGTGTATGCGTGTGTAGTCATTTTTTAAACATGTGTAGTCGTTTGTTAAATGACAAGAGAACTATGATGTGGGAAAGCCCAAATCATGTATTTATCATTAAAAAAAAACCCAGAGAGGATAAATTTATATAGTGTAGAAGTTGCAGAACAAAAACAAAATCTCAACGGCGACCCATTAAATGAGAATATGACTAATAATCTTTAGCCACAATGGCGGCTTTTAAGTAGACGCGTGATATAGGACTGACAATGTGAACTGGGGTTTATTCACTACATGATATATGCATAATGTCTATTATTTAGAAATTTTATCGAAAAAAAGATGTTGATTCATAAGATTGTTTTAAGATTATATCTTTCCTATATTATTATACATTTTGGATCTTTATACTAGACAATTAAAAAAAATAATTCTAAAATAACGAGACAATCTAGAATCTATGATCTTGGGGCGGATGTTGGGGGTGGGGGAGGGAGAAAGGTATTTCGACACTGGTCTCCCTTCAGTTTGCACATTCTTCACATACAGACTTCTGTTTTATCGTTTTCATCTCTGGAGGACTGAAGTGTTTTTTTTAGCTAAGTACACATAAAAGACTGGTGGATGTAGGGCTGAGATACAAGGAACACAGGCAGGACTATGAAGTAAATCATTGAGTGTCTATTTTTACTGGGTTTGTGTCTGTTAGGGTCAAAGTCGACCGCCCCCCCCCCTCGAACGAAATGGAATTTATATAGAAGACATATACTTTTACCAGTGTCCCCCCCCCCCCCCGAAAATGTCCATCCCCCCCTCAAAATATATCAAGTACCCCTCCCTCCCCGGAGAAAAAAGTCTCGAAAAAACACTGGTTAGGGTTAGTGTTGGGATTAGGGTTCGGGTAAGCGGGTAGGGTCAAAATGTTTTGATTTGGATTAGTGTTTAGATAGGGTCAAGGTTTAGAAAAGAGTTGTGAATAGGATTAGTGTTAGCTTAAAATGGCAGGACCTGAATTTAGATAAGTGTAGGGGTCGACTGGCTGTGTCCAAGAGGCCCGGGACATTTTAAAAGCCCCCCCCCCCCCCCCCAGGCGCCCCAACCCCACCAACACCAGGGTGAAAGGTTCACTGTACTTTTTTTCTCCATCAAATCCTGAATTTTTCGCCTGGGTTTGAATGAATGGGAATAATAAAATGGAGAAATATTAACACTATTTTTTTTATACATCAAAACAATAACATGACTATTACAGCACCGTTCCTAAGGGGCCCACCGGGATTTTTTTGTGGGGGCCCACCGCAATTTTTCCCAGTAGCCAGTCCAGCTTGAATAAGTGTTGTGAATAGGATTTGGTTTGGGGTAAACGGTAGGTTCAGAATTTAGAAGTGTGTTGTAGATAAAGATGGAGTTACGGTTGGCATTGGGTTAAGCTAACAATGTAAGCTACAATAGATTTGATGAGTATCTACAGACGGACTATGCAGTGACAATAATTAAACAACACACCCAGCAGAACCCAGAGGCGTATCGATGGGGGGGGGGGGGGGGGGGCGGGGGGACATATGTCCCCGGGCGCCGACCTTAGGGGGGGCGCCAAATTGAAAGTTTGAGGGGGGGTTGCAAATGAAAAGTTCGAGGGGGGGGGGTGCAAATGGAAAATTTGTCTCCGGGGGCCAGGAAGGGTCGCTACGCCTCTGGCAGAACCTATTAAGTAATCAAGAAGAAAAGACAAATAATGCCACACGGATCTAAATACACTTGAGCAGAAACGCCTACAGTTTATAACTAGGTAAAAAAACCTGTTCAATTATTTATGATGGTAATCTCATTACAAAAAAACACTTCATTTTATTACCAACGGTCTAACACAGGTCGAAATTACAGCCGTCATATATATAGGATAGGTGATACAGCCGTAGGTAATATACAAATCATAGGATCTTTCAAGCGTGTCACCGTGAACTTTCACAAGGAAGTTAGAAATTTAAACCAGGGCAGTAGGGTCATGTGTATTGTGATGGGAGCTATTATTGAACACGGCATGTCATGTCACGTGATAGGGCAGTAGGGTCATGTGTATTGTGATGGGAGCTATCACGTGATAGGGCAGTAGGGTCATGTGTATTGTGATGGGAGCTATTATTGAACACGGCATGTCATGTCACGTGATAGGGCTGTAGAGTTGAGTGTATTGTGATGGAAGATAATATTGAACACGGCCAGTGGCGTAGGCAGGGGGGTTGGGGGGGGGGGGTCATAACCCCCCATAGACCCCCCGGTGTATATATATATATATATATATATATATATATATATATATATATATATATATATATATATATATATATATATATATAAAGTGCAAATCGAAAATTTGAGGGGGGTGCAAATTTAAAGTTCGAGAGGGGGTGGGTTAGCAAATCGAAAGTTTGAGGGAAGTGCAAATCGAAAGTTTGTCCCCGGGTAAAAACTGGATACCCCCCCCCCACCCTTGACCCGATCCTGGCTACGCCACTGAACACGGCATATCGTTTCACTAGGTAGTTGCAGTAGAGTCGAGTGTATTGTGTTGGAAGATACTATTGAACACGGTATATTGTGTGACGTGGTTCAAAGTTCGTTTTGTCGGTTCAAGTTGGCGTCAGCTCTATTTTAACATCATGGGATACATTTTTAATTAATATCTTATCAAAATGTTTTTAATTACTGACGCAATTCCGTTACATCTTAATTAACGTTGTTTAATGAATCACGAGGGAGATTTAAAGAGGCCGATAAATCTAAAGAGTGAATCTAATATCTAAAAAAGTTGCATACAATGCTAGCAGAAGATTGGAAATACAAGTTTTTTTTTTCTAAGTGTATCAATAGCATCTCAAATCAAATAACGCGAGTGACACACCTAAGTGTAATCAATTTTAAAACATAACTTCTGCATCAGCAGGAGATTTATCGGATTGCTTCATTAAGTGTAGGCCCTCAACTTCTAGAGATAGGAGTCGCCATATGTATAGATCTTGATAATATATGTTTGTAAACAAACTAATTATATGAGTGAAACATTCTTGAAGAAAAAAAATTAGATGAAATTATTAACTAGTAAATGTTATATAAAACATGTTATTAAATGTCTTAAGATAAGTTTTATGGAAGCCTACTAGGAAAAAAGGGGTTGGATGGGGGGGGGGGGGGGGGGGGGGAGATTGGGGCTTCTTCGAAGTGGAGATAGGGAAGGAAT